GGATAAGCCTTGAGGTGCAAACATCGGTTTTGTACCGGTGGTAAGCTGCCCAAACAAGAAACGTCGAAATACATACCTATTTGAGGAGTGATTTTTCAAAAGGTCGTATTTCCATTTGAAACAATTTTTCAAAAAAATGACTACCTATAACCTGTATAGGTTAGGGCAATATAGATTATTTTAAAAAAATCTGATGAATATTTAATAATACTTCAGACCTGCTGTCATATTTCGCCGTTGATATATGCCTTTTAACCATACCTTTGGGATTTTGTCAAAAAATTACATTCAAGTAAAAATGGAAATAAGGCCTTTTGAAAAATCACTCCTCATTTGTTTCTTCAGTTTACGAAGGCGTAGAAGGGCCAACAACAATATTTTTTTTTAATACAATTTTTAATCGACAATTGTCGATCGGTTCGACAATTTTCGATCGGTTCGACAATTGTCGATCGGATTGACAATTGTCGATTCGATCGACAATTGTATATATACATGGTGTTTCACATTCGTGGTCCATTAGAAGTTTCTGGGAAACGAAAAAAGATATCGATTTGAAATTTTAAAAGCGTTTACAATTTATTTGAGTCTATTTTTCTAAAATATTTTGAAAAAAATGCCACTTCCGGTTTAACCGTTGTTATTTTAAAAGAAACAGCCATATATTTTTACATTTTTAAATTCAACATATGTTGTTACTGTACCATGTCCTATACCTAAAGTGAATATTTTTCGAATTATTATTTTTTTTTCGTTAAAATTTAAGAAATCCGCGTAAATCAAAAATAGCCTATAAATTTTTTGTTATCAGGTTTGCTAATATAGGGTTAGAATATTTGGAATCTTAAAACATTGTTTAAAAGATCTTTAACATTTTTTAACAAATTAGTAATTTGAAATTACCTGAAAAAAAAACAGGGTAAATTAGGCCAACTTGAAAGGTTGATAACTTTTTTATTTCAAATGTAACACTTGGTATGTTTTAACATATTCAAATAGTAAATTAAAAAACCTTTCGATTGATGTTATTATTCCCTATACCTAAAGTTGATAATTTCATAAATATTTAACAATTTCTAAAATTTTACATATTATTTTGTATCACGAAACCTATGACGGGTGAGTTGACGGTTTTTATCAGAGAATGGTTTCTATGGTTACCACGTCATTTGTAAAATTTAATCTCATCAATTTTTCAGGTTGTTATAAACAATTTTTTAACTAATTAATTGTTTAAAAATTAATAATTCGAAAAATATTCACTTTAGGTATAGGACATTGTATGGTAATTTTATTCATAATTTAAAAATGTAAAAATATATGGAGTGTTTATTTTAAAATAACAAAGTTGATCCCAGTTCCGGTTTAACCGGAAGTGGCATTTTGTTCAAATTTTAAAATTTCAAATCGATCTTTTTTTGTTTTTCCAGCAACTTTCAATGAAGCACGAATGTGAAACACCCTGTATATATACAATTGTCGATCCAAACGACAATTGTCGATCCGAACGACAATTCTCGATCCGATCGACAATTGTCGATTAAAAATTGTTTAAAAAAAAAATATTGTTGTTGGCCCTTCTACGCCTTCGTATCAGTTAGATGCCTTTGCAATAACTCTACTTAAAACCCCACAGATAGGCATAATATATATTATATAATAAAATAGTATATTATGTATAATATAATAGTATATTATGTATGAAGTTTGATAAACGTCATTTTAGACACGAATTTAATTTAGGCACGAGCGAGCTTGCGAGCGAGTGCTTAATTAAATGAGTGCCTAGAAAAGATTATAAACGAGTTGCATACTATTCTTTTTCTACGACAAACCTTATTATTATTTAAGCGACATCTATGAAACAATAGAATTACCAACTTGAAAATGTGTATTATGTCAAATGTCAAATTTTTATGTGTAAATCAAAATGTATTCCTTGAAAATCTATCGTTTAATCAGATCTAGAAAGAGTTTTTTACAGTGAAAGTAAAGAAAATGTTTTATTGGCACTCCACAGTGGAGTCTTCACCCGAAATTAAGTTAATGTAGCCGGCAAAATTACAAGATCAGTACAATATTCATTTAAACTTTTCAAATATTGGCGTTGAGAAACTATTTAATACTTTTGTATTTTTATGTTGAGATAATAAAATAATTTTTACACTTAATATTATTTTAAAGACTGTATGACATTTGAAAACTGTCAACTAACTTAAAACTAACTTCAGCCCGTGACTAAAAACCTAGGTTGCTAACTTCAGCCCGTGACTAAAACGCCATAAAGCCAAAACTTGTCAATGTGTATTTAAAAGGTCACTTAGTGTCATGGAAACATGTATGATAATGGGCGTTTTAAAGGTGGGAGTAGAAAAAATAGTTTAAAAAAGCATTGATGCCATTATTTGCAAAACTCTCTCTTTGCTATTTGGTTTACTTTTCAGGAGCAACAAAAAACTTTTTAGCTTGGTTTCAATTTATTTTTTTCCCAATACATTAATAGGCATGAATAATAAATGTGATGATCGTACATATGAAAAAAAGGTAAACACAGTGAAATTAGTTAACAATTTATTAAAAAACAAACAAATTTGTATTCAAACGAAAAAAACTTAAATATTTTCAGTGTCGTTTACGTTTTGACACACGTCTTGATCATGTTCAATTTTTTTTAAATTTTAAGCTTGATCCTGAATAATTTTGTAGAAGGCTTATTCTGGTAGTTTTATCCAGTCTTCACCATAATGCTAGCAAACCAATAATGGGAGTGTTATCCATTTTAAGTTTCTTGCTTACCGACTAAATGGATGTAAAGAAAGAGTTTTGCAAATAACCGATAACACTTTAACCGATTTTATATAACAAAGAAGCAGTTTTTAAACGTTTTAAAGGTGGCAATACATTCCTTGTAAAAAATCTGATGAAATTTGCAAAAAAGTGAATTTTGATTATTTTGTCCATTAGAGGCTTTTGCAAATAATGGCCTCAAATAGAAACGGACCCAAGAGGTCCGTGAGGCATACCGTGACAACTTAATATTTGTTGAACAAAACACATCAACATTTGTCCGATATTGGTTTGTTTCCGAGATATCATATATTTTCTGTTTTTATTTTTAACTCATTGTTAAACTTTTTTCAACCAGTTTACTTTTGATTTGCGCACTCTTCAGCACGACCAAAAATTGCACCCTCCCGCCTAGAGCTGCAATTAAATAAATTTATTTTCTACGCATGCCTGCGACTCTGCATTGATCAAACCACGTGGTGATATGAGGTACCTACTCTTTGATGTTCATATCAACCTATTGTTTATTTATCATTGCATAACTAACGAACATATCCGACAGTCAGCCCCTGTTTGTTTATTATTTATCTTTTTAAAACGTAGTGGATATTTTAAAAATAGAATGTATAAACTTCACCTTATAGGGTGTAACGGGTAGATGTAGGTAATTTAAAATTACTTTGGACATTCCATGGAATGGCTGGACAACAGGTCATTTAATACAAAGTTGCCTATAGGCAATTTTGTATTAAATGATAGAGATATTTTAAATTGAAATAAAATCGAAAAAAAAAAATTTTGTCCGCCAATTGGCGTAAATGACCGTTAATTTTTATTATTTTTTTTACTAAATTAAAAAAAAATAGAATTGGTACATATAAAATTTGTAATACTTAAATTTTTTTAACAAAATTTGAAACTTCAGTGAATTAAATATTGTACCACTTTAATTTGAATTATCTTAATATGGGGGGAGAGGAGGCTGGGGGGCACACTTAAAAACTAACTTTTTATCGCAAACTTCAATTTAAATTCTGCTTGCGCAGAACTTGTCTATATAGTGTCATTATAAACTCATATAAATTTGATGTGGGTCCCATGTCTAATAACTGAGATATGGGTGTGCCCAAAATCCACCAGACACCACTGCAGGCAACCGATAGTTGCACACAATATTTTATTCAACTACCGCAAGGAATTTAAAACCAATTTTAGCAGGGCCACAAAATTACATATATAATATTCCTGGTGAGTGTTACATAAAATATATTTTTAAATAACTTTTTATGACATAAAAACATATCGTTTAGCTGACTTTTTGTTAGGAAAAAAAGTGTTTTTATCTACCACAAATAAAAGATGGTTGTAAAGAGAAATTTTAAGAAGACTTTTTTGAGACGAATTTTTGTTATGAGCAACCTTTTATTATTTGGCGTTTTCTTGAAATCCGTAATTCTAGGTACACAAGTGTTTTATCTGACCAATTAATCATAAACTGTATTGGAAAATATATATTATTTATAAATATATACACAACCAAAATATGAAGTCTATATTTCAGAATTAACAATTTTGGACTTGAGTAGGTACACATCAAAATATCTTAAATCTGTGAATTTTTGTACATGACAACGTCGCATTTTTATTAATTTTAAGCTTTTATGATAAAAAAAATTAAAGAATTCCTTAGTTTTAAGAAAAAGATTTTGGGCTATTTATAAATTTAGGGGTCTATCAAAATATAAAGTCACTGTTACTGCTTAAGGAAAAAACAATGTAAAACTTAAATAAACTTTATTGCAAAAGCCTTTATAAATATCAATAGTACAATTTAATCAACTAAATTATATAATTACAGAAACATATGGAATAAAACAAATATTCTTTCCATATGACATAAGGCACTTTGGTGATAAACCAAAAAGTTGACTAATTCCTAAACTTAACTAAAATACAATTCATATAATAATATTGCAAGAAACAAAGTATGAAACTGTTAAACAGCACCCAAGTTATTGCTAATAATTTAACATAGTTTATACACATAATATCCAGTAAATAAATTAAATAAAACCGAGTACTTAAAAAACAAGTTTACGAGAAAAACGAAAAATAATATCACAAAGAGATGTGCAATTTTATAACTGAAAATATCAAACAAGAACAAATGTTATCAACGTAATACGAGAAACAAAACAATACATTTAGCGTTTTTTGTTTTTAACAAAACATTTTTTTAAATTGTAATAAATTTTAATTAACTATATGTAAAATGTCATTAAGAGAACAATTAAACTTAATCTTTATTATAAAAATTTAAATTAGGAAAAAAGCCAGAACTTCCATACATTTCATAATTGCTCAAATTGTAAATTAATTTTACAATGTATTAGTAAAATTAACTCTCTCTGGTATCTAGTAGATACTAAACTGGTGTAATAACCTTTCAAAAGCCTCATTGCCAAACCTTTGGTGCCACATTTGGCTTGTCAAGTATTGCTGTACATTATTATTGTTATAAAGTTGGGCTTGTGCACAAACATTTGAAGCTTGTTTCCAGATTATTTCCAGGTTTTCCTCGCAAGTGGTTTGGGGTGTATTGTGCCTCTTTAAACAACCCACAGTGACAATGGTGGGGTATAAATTTTTTAATGGTAAGAAATCTGCATATGAACATAATTGGGATTCACTGGGTACCACCAGGACTGAACCTGGTTTAACAATTTGTTGGATTACTTTTAGAATTTTTTCCTTGTTTTGGGTGGGGCGGTTTCTTTCAAGAGATTGATACCAGTATTTCTGAGGCATAGTCTGAAAAAAATATTTGTTAATAAACACTTGATTTTTTGTAATTTTAAAGCTAAATATAAACTTTGGTAGTGGGTCATTTACAGGATTGTATATTATTAGTTAAGTTTAATTCTTACCTTTACTTCTGCTAAACATAAAATAGGCCTAAAAGACCTACTTGTAGGTCCAAATCCCGTTGGATAAATATCAAAAAGAATAATGGATCCTGGACCTCCAATTTGAAATTCAGTGATGTTTTTTTGTATGTACTCTTCAGCTAGTTGGGCTGATGTATTATATAGACCACTTACAACGCAATTTTTAATGCCTAAATGGATAAAATAACAATGTAGACATTCATTTAATAAAATATAGACTATTGTTTAATTTACCTTGTACATTCCTTTTATTCTATGTTAGCAGGAAATTAAGTTAGTATGTAAATACAAATACTCAGTAAATTTAAATAAAACTTACCCAACATAGCAGCAATATTCTCAAAATCATTGCATTTGCTCCATCCCAACAAAATCCTCAGTGCATTCTTAAAATTACACTTAACATCGCAAAACATAGATCCATCTCGAATAGATTTCTTAACCAAACAGTTATTGCATTTCCACTGGTAGAAATCCTGGTTCCTCGAAGGAAACCAAGCCATGGTTTTGTTGCAATTTTCATTGTTCTTAGAGTTTTTGCAAACCTGTACATTTGGTATCATTCCAGTTGTTTTAAGCCAAAAAATTAGTTCGCAATCGTGTCCTGGAGCGAGTAGCGGTCGAATTACTTGTTGATAGTAACCAAGCTCACTGTAAAATAAGATTTTTTAGAATATATGGGTTGTAATCCTTATATTGGGACCCATACCAGCATGAATCGTTTTAGAGGGGTAGAAGATCAGGGTTTTTAATTAAAAGCAACATGGGGGTAGTAATAAATCATAAAATCCTAGTACATGCAACAAGTGAATATAAACTTACCTATCAAAAGTATTTAGATCAATACTTTTCTCAACATTGTTGTTTTCATCGCGATATTCCGATATTTCTTCGGTACACATTTTAAATCTGTAAATTCTACTCACTAATTTAATTTAAAACATGTTTTTATAAACAATTTTAACTGAATATAAAATTAACTTGTTGAACACAATTCTATTATTATTGATGTCAAAAATTAACCAATCAATACTTACGAGCATGCGCGCTCGCAACTATTGCTGTCAAAATTTGAGCGGCATTTTTAAATAAAACCTCATAAAAAAATATTTATTGTTTATTAAAGTCTAGGATTAAAGTGTAGCCGTCTCCGGATTTATATTAAGCATACGTTTTTTTAAGTCGTTTTTCTCTTCATCAGTCCTTAAATTCTTACAATACTCATTAAATTTTTTCTCCTGATAATTATGTATGAACTTAAAACAATGTTTCATAGATGCCCCAACATACAAAATGTTTATATAAGCAGTCACTTGATTGATTCCCTTTATAAATGGTATAGAACTGGATATAAATTTGTGTGGCCCTTTTCTACACCTTAAAACTGCTATTTTTGTGATTTCATTGCAATATTTTGCTGTGAATCCCGATCTAATTGCAGCTACGCCGAAATCACCGTATAATGACTGTACCTTTTGTACAATACAAGTTTGCAGGTAAGTACCCAACACTTTATTGCTGTTAACTTGCAACACCATGTATCTAAGAGTAATAGGTATTTAGAATATGTGTAACTAATGTATACGTTTTAAAAAATATTACCTGTTTTTGTGCCTCACCATTATGATCAAATGTATTAGAGACAATAAAAAGGCATTCAAAAGGTTTGTTTACGAAAATATAACCTACAAAGCTACATGTGACATTTCTGTCAGAATTTTGCTTGGAATGAATTTTGACAGATGTATTCCTTCACCTTGAGAACATTTGTTATAGCTTGAGAAAGTAAAAAGTGTGCACATTGATTAGAGACCTATCCTCATTAATTAAAGGGACTGTCTACAGTTCCTACCAGTAGGAACTTAAGTCTTCAAGACTAAAGTTCCTACTGGTCGGAACTGCAGCCACTGAGTCAAAAGTTACTACCAGTCGGAAATTCTGTTATGGACGCCAAAGTTACTACCACCTGTTTAGATTAGAAATGGCCTATTTGGGAAATAATGTTCAAATCTTTACTTGTTCTGCACAAAAAAACCATTTTATAAAAATCTTTGGAAAACTTATTTTATTACAATAATGTTTAATCATTGAGTAAAGTATTACTTAATGGTCTAATATTATATACAATGCGTTATAAATGAAAAATTGAATCAAACATATTTTTTCATTATTGTATATATAAAATAATATAAAGAAGTTTTACTAATCTTATAAGAAAGAGTATTTCTATAATAACTATAGTTTTGGTATCTTTGCTAAAAGGCTTAAATTCAAAATATATATTTAACAACAAACATTTATTTAGTAAAAACAAAAATAAAATGTAACTTAAAATTAATGGTATAACATAAAATCCTTTTTAACTATTTATAAATAAAATATTAAAGTATCTTGCGATTTAGGTAGGAAATCTAGAAATATATCTAGGTTTCTAAATATATTTATAAATATACAGGGTGTTTCATAATATATGCGCAGGACTTCAGGATGTGATAAATCATCCAAAAAGATGAAAAAAGTCGTTATTAACTTACGCTCTAAAATGCACAATTTTCGAGATACAGGGTGTTGAAATTTTAGAAAAAAATTCGTTTTTTTCGAATATCTCCGGAACCGTTTATCGTACAAAAAACAGCTTTTGTAAGCATTTTCTACTCAAAATGTACGGCCTATTCGAACCGCCAATGTTTTTTACACAAAAAAGGTACTCTTGGTCATAAGCTCTAAAGTTGACCGTTTTCGAGAAAAATCAACTTTTATGTTTAAAAACATGGTCAATTAAAAAAAAAAAAAAATTTTTTTTACTAATTAAACAAAATTTATTTTAACGTTAGAACAACTAACAAAACCAAACCATAATTGCAAAATAAAAAATGATTCAAAAGTTGTCTTTGCTAAATTCTCCAAACCGTAAAGGTAACGCATTTCGAACATTTCAGCATTTGTGTAAAAAATCATTTTTTATTTTTTTTTTTAATTTTGCAATTGTCGTTTGGTTTTGTTACTTTTTCTAACGTTAAAATAAATTTTGTTTAATTAGTAATAAAAATTTTTTTTCAAAAAATGTTTTTAAACATAAAAGTTGATTTTTCTCGAAAACGGTCAACTTTAGAGCTTATGACCAGTACCTTTTTTGTGTAGAAAACATTGGCGGTTCGAATGGGCCTCTCAAAACCGTACTTTTTTCAGGGGCGTTGAAGTTGAGGAGAAAAACACCCGCTACCCCTTCAAAATCTCCACCAATTATGAGTAAAAAATTTTTCTGGCACGAAACATAGCTTATTATGAGTAGAAAATGCTTACAAAAGCTGTTTTTTGTACGACAAACGGTTCCAGAGATAATCGAAAAAAACGATTTTTTTTCTAAAATTTCAACACCCTGTATCTCGAAAATTGTGCATTTTAGAGGGTAAGTTAATAGCGACTTTTTTCATCTTTTTGGATGAGCTATCACATCCTGAAGTCCTGCGCATATATTATGAAACACCCTGTATATAAACTAAACTAAACCTAATACATATTTATATTATAAGTTATATTCAAGTTTTAATATATTATATATATATATATATATATTATATATAAAAATCAACTTTTATGTTTAAAAACATGGTCAATTTAAAAAAAAAAATTTTTACTAATTAAACAATATTTATTTTAACGTTAGAACAAGTAACAAAACCAAACGATAATTGCAAAATTAAAAAAAAAATAAAAAATAATTCAAAAGTTAAATTAAATGTTGGAAATGTCCACCGTTATCTTCAATGCACGCAATTTAAGAATCTATGGTATGGATATTAAAATAGTTGTAGCTTAGGATCAGAGCCGAACTATTACCTATACACACACACAGTATAGACAAAGAGCGGGAACCACAGAACACCAAGTTCCTACTGGTAGTAACTCTTGACCAGGTGGCTAAAGTTCCTACCAGTAGGAACTTTATACTCTGCGACTAAAATTCCTACTGGTAGGAACTGTAGACAGTCCCTTAATTAAATAATTACTAAACGAGGTAAATATTAGTAAACGAGGCAATAACAAATTTTTATAAGTTAAATTATAATAAAACCATAATAATGTATTAATTTAATAATAATACATACAAGCATGCATAAAGAGCTTTTTTATCCTGAAGGACCTACATTCTATTATTTTACTCTGGCGTAGTTCGTGGAGGTATTGTGAACAAACCCAAAGTTGTGTCAAAATATTCTGTGGTTGTGTGATGTCTATAAAGAAAAACAATATTCTTCTTAATTGTGAAGTAATTATGGATTATCATAATATTAGTATAGAAGAAGGAAATAATGAATGCAGGAAAAGGATTAGCAAACAAAGTAAGCGCGAAGAACGCAAGAAACAAAAGTAAGGCTGTAAACTTTTTACTCAAAGGGTTTAACCAACAAACATATTTTAGGTATTCAGATAAAGATCCTGCCCTGGAAAATTTTAAACGACCATGCAATCATGATGGAAAATCCTATGCATGTTGTAATATTACCTTGGAAGACATTAAACTTCTTAGAAAGGAATTTTATAGTGATGCAGATAAATTTCGTCAAGATATACAATTGTGTCAATATATTTCTGTTGTGCCTGCCAAACGACGTAGATCGATGAAGGAAATAAAGCAGAGAAATGCAACACTTTGTTATTTGCTTTATACAGCCAATGGACAGCCTGTAAGAGTTTGTAATGCCTTTTTTACCTCTGTTTTTGAAATATCAAAACATAGGATTTTAACTGTTGCAAAAGGTACTGATTCAAAGGAAAGAAGAGGGGGTGATCGGAGGTCTCAGAAGAGCGCAATTAAAAAGGAAAAAGCACGAATTTTTATAAGTAATTTGCAAGAAAAAGAAAGCCTTTCTGTTAAAGAATTTCATAAGCTTTATGTGAAACAATGTGAGGCTGAAGATCATGTTAGTTATGGTATGTTTAGGAATATATTTTTAAGTGATTGATCTTCAAAATGCAATAAAAATCCATAATGTTTCAAATTTGAGGACAAATCAGGTCTTAAGGAAGTAGAGAATTTTAAAAAATACCTGTGGTGACATCCAAAGGAAAATCTACTAAAATGTAAAATTACCTGAGATTGGCAGATGTATTAGGTCAAAGAATTTATTAAAAAAGAACAATTAAGTTACTATTAAAGTAAAAACAGTAATTTTGTTTTTTTAGGGAAATAAACACGATTTCCAAATAATTTGTTATTTTGCTTGCAAAACCCTATTTATCAAATATTTTTCTTCCTTATATACATTAAATTGTTAAATTCAAGTTTTATTTATAAACATTATCAAGGCGAAGAAATGATTTATTTTCTTCTTCCAACATTATGTGCTTTTATAAATAAATTTAAAATTATATAAGACTTAGTAGGTATTGTATATGACAATGAAATAATAACTATTAATAATTTTAAAATGTATCTTTTTATTTTGAAAATAGCCAAAGACTGTTTTTTACTTATTTCAATTTATATATTCCTTCAAAGTTTTTAAAATGTAGGAAAAACTCATGGGAAAACTAAAATAAAACACAAATTAATGAATAGATTATGTATTTTACTTCAAAAGCATTTTAATAAATTATTAAAAACATTATAACATACACTTTAATAATTTTACAAATTAATGTAGAAAATATAATTACAACAAACACTATAATGAAAAAAACAATATGTATAATATCAAGACCGGATTTATATAATAAGTTTTTTTTTAATTTCAATGAGAAATATTCTTTAATTGTATATACATACCACCAATAAATTGAATGTGCTACATTAAGAAATGGTGATCACAGAAAAAATAACTAGGTATCTAATATACAAGGAGAGCAAAAAACTAACCAACAAGATTTAAATTTTTGGTCCTTAAAATATACAAAAAAATATGGTTAATAATACATATTCTGGAAAACTCTGAAAAATAAAATGTTTTAAGTACAAAAAATAAACATTATAATTATAATAATAATAACAAAGAAGTATTGCAGATATTTTGGTAACTGAATAAAAATTATATCAATTATTGCAAAAAAATACTAAAGAATAAATAAATCAATATTATTTTTTTTAATTCAAATTAAAATATAAGTTTATCAAATTAACAACTAACAAAAGTTACAAAGTACTACTCAAAAAACTAATATTCTTTGGCCAAAAGTAAAATATTGGGTGATGCATGATAGAGAGCTTTATCTATTTAAATCACAAAATTGTCAGTCCCTTAATGCTCTAAGCACCATTGTGTAACTTACATTAATTATCATTTCATCACCCAAACGAAATCAATTTTTAAGAAGTACCTATAAGGTCAATAATACATATCAAGCTAGCACAGTTTTTTAACAATAAAATTATGATAAATATTTACTGTTTTTACAATTTAAACTACAAAAACAGAACTAACTAGACAAAATTCGACACTTAAATCACCGTTTTATTAATTAAAACCTACTTAATTGCAAGTAAATAACATGCAACCTCTGGGTAAATTTTGGTTAGTTCATAAAAAATACACATATAATGTATTATAATCAATTTTGTTAAAACACAATTTTAAATAGTCCGATCTTGAAGAAACGTTATTTTTCAGTCACTTTTCATTCACTTCTTAAGCCAACTAACTTTACAAAACAAGGCGATTATTTTCCTTTAGTAATACCAACATTAAATGCGGTACTACGTTGCCATACGCAAGCTACACACCCTTTACACAATTTTCTATTGTCTTAACACCCTGTATATCGAGTATTTTTCGATTAATAAAGCTTTAAATATGGGAAGCATGGTTTTCAAAATATCTTTTTAGAATGATTTAATTTCTTTAAATATCATAAAAACTTACAAGTTGAAGAAAGCGAAAAGCAATTTTACAATTTTATGTTTAAGTAAAATATCAAAAACTTTTTTACACCAAATACCAACAAGTTTAGAAATTTTACATTGAAAGAAAAGTTTCAAACTTATTTAGGTACATTGAACTAATGGTTAAATTAGTTTGGAAAAACTGTAATATTTTACCAAATTTAAAATGAAAAACTTTAATACATTGGCGGGAAGCGCCAAAACTTCTTTACAATTTTTTTTTCATAAAAACAACTTGCATTAAGATATTTAAAAAAATGCACACTTCAGATACATAACACTGGTCAACAGCCATTTGCCAAAGGGTGGTCAACAATTTTTCAATGGTAATTTGGGTGCACTGATTCCAAAAATGACCATTATTTTGCTCAATTAGATCTTGTTTCTGCGATATTGTAAAAAAACGTGATTCGTATACAGTGTGACCCATTTGTTTGTGACTCACACATGTAAAATCTTTATTTATTGTGCAATTTTAACCGAGTTTGTTTTACAGTGTAGATCTTGATAAACTGTATTATTTGAGCAAAAATAACCATGTTTATACAAAATACAAGGCCTACTATATCAGTTTTTGAAAGACAATTTTTAAGAATTTATATTGGCGATTTAAAAAAATCTATGCACAGCACTGGATTCGCCACCCCTTGAAACGACCCCAAACTAAATTTTATTGAAAACTTTAAGTAGGAACGATTTTGTAGCCAAATTAAAAATGAACAATAATAACTATTTACAAAAATGTATTATGTCAAGTTATCCAAGAAAAAAAATACTATATTATAACTAATAGGTAAAATGGTATAAATATTATTATGCTTGGTCTTGAAAAATAAAAAACGCTAAAAACCTTTAAAGAACACCCTGGTTCACAAAGAGACCCACTGATAGATTTTTGTATTGGATTGTATGGTGTTTCTAGGATTTATCGGTATGAATAGGACCCATAGTTGGGATTTATGGTTGTTCTATAGAGATATCCTTTCTTGATTTATTTGCTATTGGTCTTAATAGGGAAAATACACAAATGTAGAAATTAGTTTTTCTCCCATAGGACCCCATAGGTTTTAACAAATGCAAGCCTGCGCAGCCATTACTACAGAACAAATATGAAAGTGTATTAAAATAAATGGTGGATTAGTAGAGGTGACAAAAATGTATTATAGAGAATTTTTTGAATTCTTTATTTTTTGTTTCATTGTTGTTTTAAGTTTCTATTGCGTTTTTTAATTGTTAAAACTAAGCATAAGAAAATTTATACCATGTTACTATTAGTTAAATTTTATTTCAATGTTTTTTTCATGGTTAACTTTTTTGTAAATTATTGTGCATTTTTAATTTATCTACAAAATCGTTCCTACTTAAAACAATTTAATAAAATTTAGAATAGGATCATTTTGAGGGGTGGTGAATCCAGATTTTTTTTAAATGACTAATATGAATTCTTAAAAATTTACAATCAAAAACTGACATAGTAGGCCTTGCATTTTGTAAAAATATGGCGGTTTTTTTCAAAAATACTGTTTAGCAAGATCTACAATTTAAAACAAATCCGGTTAAAATCGCACAATAAATAAAGATTTTACAGGGGTGAGTCGCAAACAAATAGGTCACACTGTATATATTTTTTAATCAAGGATCATGGTAAAGTAACTAAGGGTCCAAATTAAATTGAAAAAAATAAATTTTAATCATAATTCATAAAGTTATTCCCTTTAATAATCCTGTTGTTAACAAAGTGAAATTCGACAATTTTTAAAATTCACGATTTTAATGAAATTACAAAATTTGTAGCTACACCTATCTACTTATTTATGTAAAATTTTTAACACAATCAAATAAAAATTGTCAAAATTTTCCCAAATTCCCCAAGAAAAGTTGTCGGCCGCCCGGCCGCAACCACAGAATTTCATTTAGTCGCCCAGAGGGTTTTACCTAGTTGCGTCACGTTCCGCTGGCGGCGCGCACTACACGTCGCTGTCGGGATCGGTCTCGCTCCTCGGCTGGCCGAAGTTCCTCGTGATGCTCTCGCTCATGGTGCGAATGTTTTGCAGGTGCACGTCGTTGACGGGCACCGAAAAATAGTTGAGGCCGTCCAGATCGGGCACGGCGTTGAGGTCGTCGTCGGTGCGGTAGCAGTTGTCGTACTCGGAATCGTAGAGCGCGCTGAGCGAGTCCAGCGACATCATCGCGTCCGAGTCGAAGATGCGCGACGAGGCGCGAGACGACATGCTCGTGTTGTCGTCCATGTCGGCGTCGTGATTCTGGTCGTTGTAGGCGGAGTTAACGTCACTTAGAGCGCCTAAGTGGGGGGATACATTATTTTTTTGATCATTTGAATGCTGTCCATGTAAAAATAAATATTTTAAAATTTACAGAGAATACAGCCTCTAAATCAATAATATCCGTATATATAATAATCGTTTTGTAATAATTGCTATGATTTTTAGTATGTTAGTATTTTTAGCTATATAAACTGATGTGTATGGGGCACCGTTTTATTTTTTATTCAGGAATTATTCTTATGTGTTAACACCAAAGTGATTATTTTCAATTAGATATAAAATATCATAGTAGATATTTAAAAATTAAATTTAATTTTTATGTCAAACTGATATTTTTAGTTTAGTGAATTTAAAATATCTGTTTCTTATAGTACATTGTTTTTTTAGTAAAAAATATTTTTTTAATTCCTTAAATTAAAAATATCATAGTAGAAACTTTTAAATGCATTGAAAAGTAGATATTTTTAATTAAATGTGATATTTTTAAATCAGATTGAAAGTTTGGACACCCCTGGAATTCCAAACAAATTCTGTCGCTAGATGGCAGCACTGACGCAGCGTGTGCTAAACAAGGACAGTGCACGTTAGTTTGTTGTTGGAGTGGATCGGTTTTTGTGGAGTTTGGAATAACAGGGGTATTCCAAACTCTCAATCTACTTCAGTCGGAATTAAAAATATCTCATATGTTATTTTTAATTTAGCGAATTAAAAATTTGTGTTTAGCAAAATAAGAAGCAAATATTTTAAATTAACTAAATAAAAAATATCAGTTTGGCCTAAAAATTAAATCTAATTTTTAATTAAGCGAATTTTAATTCGTTTATGTGTGTTTGACAAAAAATACAGATATAAGAAATAGATATTTTAAATAAACTAAATTAAAAATATCACTTTGGCATATGCTATAATATTATTAATTCGCAGAATAAACATTCTTATGTGATATTTTTTATCTAATTGAAAATATCACTCTAGTGTTAACACATAAAAATAATTCCTGAATAAAAAATAAAACGGCGCAAAATTAAAACACCACTTTTTTAAAAATACGCACAGGTTACTCTTACGAGGGTTGCCTTTTATATTTCGGGAATGGCCGAACCTGCTGATGCTATCGTACAACAGATGTCTGTATCGTTAAGTTCGACCTTTTAGACGGTGTTCTTACTGAAAACGTTTTGACGTGCGGGCGCAATTAGTATCATTAACATTCACTTGAAAAATTAGTGTCGGCCAAAAAAAAAAAGAATTGACCCGTGAAGTTCATCGATGCATTATTGTTGGGATAATCCACGTGAACCTTTTCGTGCTATAATTTTTACAACTTTAAACGTGGATTATCCCAACAATAATGCATCGATGAACTTAATTTGACTTTTGGCGACAAAGTGCCATAAAAAACAAGTGAATATCGGTGGTGTTCCAAATTCAATCGTGGACGTGGTTCGCTCACCCGGTGAGCCTCACCGAGGAATTTCGTGAAGGTCGTCCAAAATCAGTCCTTCTCGCAAAAAACGTTGATGCTCTGCGTGAAGTGGTACTGCAAGATCGTCATGTGACATATCGTGAGATTGGGTCATCCTTGGGCATTAGTGGGACCAGCATACATTCAATATTAAATGAACATTTGGCCGTCAGAAAAAATTGTTACTGTTGGATCCCACATAATTTGACAATCGATCAAAAAAAGGCTCGAGTCTAGTGGTCAAAAGAAATGCTTAAAAAATATGATGGTGGTGCTTCAAAACATGTTCATGACATTGTATCAGGTGACGAATCACGGATCTAATCTAATCTATGAATCAGAAAGTAAACAGAAGTCGACTGTGTGGGTCTTTAGAAGCGGTTGATGCGTTCAAAATGCATGTTTTGGAGGTGCCTCAATCGGAGTGAAAAAAATGCTTCGACAATTGGTTCAAGTGCATCAAAGGCAACCCTCGTATCATAAGAGTCTTATGCTACAAAAACCGTTCAAAAATGTATTAGAACGGTCTGCCAATATTTTCTATGTTTAACAACGATTTTTTCCCTGGGTCTGCGGAATACACATATGCTTCTGGAGTACCTGCATCGTCCGAACATTCAGAAAGACATTTTTTTAAAGATTTTTAATTTTCCATGCTTTACCATAATATTACGGGTTATCTTCCTCCTTACCTTAACTTAGGTTATAAGGAAGTTTTTTTAACAAAATTTTTAGTTCATGGTATAGGGGGGTCTATCAGAACATTTTCTGTATTCAGTAACTTATTTTCTACCGTCTCCAGGGAAAATCATTCCTTTTTTAACATCCAGAGACAAAGACTGGCCTCATATTTTTTGCGAGGGTCTAGTTAAACCAATATGGCGAAAAATTGTTGACTTTAATTTTACGTTATTTATTTATTGGTTGGAATTGTCCCCCTGTAGACACACCAGTATTTTTACATGGTTAAAGTCATAATGGGTTGTCTATCCTTTGGACGTTCATCTAGATTCTAGACCCTCGTGATTAATAGGATAAGAATTATGATTCCATACAACTTCCACTTTGCGATTTTGGCAGAGATTTTGGTAAAGCTGGCTTACTGGGTGTATGGAGGATACTATAGCTATAGCTTGAGAGGTTTACAAGGTAGTAATATGGTCTGATGGGGTGGATGTTTGGAAGGCAATTTTAGTAAATAACCCTGCCAAAGTGACCACAGTGAAAATCAATTTTTACTTCTTTTGCAGGTCTTTAAAGAGGAATGATTGAGCCTGGAGGTAGATAGACCCCCTTACAACAACATGTACACATTTTGTATATAAAAGACTTCCTCATGACTAAAATTGAGGTGGGCAAAAACGAGCTAAAATGGAAGAGGCTGCTTGATGAGTTAGGATGGGAAGAAGCATAAGTATATTTCGGGGACCCAGGGGTTGTAAAACACCATCAAGGAACCTAGTCAACATAGAAAATATTGGCTGACTTTTATTAAGTTTTATAAAGGTTTTTGAATAAGAGTAGTTTAAAGGGTTTATTTCTGAGACTACCTACGTTAATTACACTTTGGCAAACTTATTTATTTAGCAAATTTTAGGCTACAAAATGTCTAAAGAAGAACTTTCTAGACTGTTTAAATGAAATTTTATACATATTTGTAGTGCTTTAACTTTATAAATAATAAATAAATTGGGTGTGTTTTTATTAGGTATTTCCTGTAAATTTTAACATATTTATTTTTAATATTTAACTAACTACACGATTTTAAATACATAAAACTGGTATTTTACAAAATGTGCAATCAATAAAAGGGATATTTTTTTTTGTTAAAAAGCAAGACAAAAAAATCATAACTCTATGTAGTGTTTATTATTGAGAGCATAGCTTTTTAGCTATACACATATAAATTTCTGTCTTATTTTAGATTTCCAAAAAAGGGTAAAAAGATAAAAACTAGCAATAAGTCGGAAAAAATGGTTGTGCCAATTTTATGAAAAATATATTTTACTAAATAGTTTTATGATGGAGGTATTTTTATTTAAATTTTATACAAGTTGTGTACATTAAAGTTTTATTTAAAATACAATGTAGAACTTAAAGTTCTATAATTATAACTTGCATTATAAAACTATTTTTTAAAGGATTAAGTTCTTGATAGTTAGCAATTATGATATACAGTGTGGTCATAAATAGTTTGTTTACTTAAAATAGGTGCGTTCTTTTTGCTTCACTCATCTCAAAGTGAGCTGAGATTGTTGCAGTTTAAATTTATTCGGCAATAAAGTGGAGGAGAGAGAGATACGTTTTAAAAATATCATTTCTTTAAAGGACATGTCTATCAAATAAAACGTTTACTAATGTATTATACATAATATAACGCAGGTTCAATGTTGTTCTATGAATTTAAATCTACAATATTTTTGTTTAATTGACAAGTTTAGGTCTTTACAGAACAAACCTCGAATTCACGTCGCCACAAGTATGTATGATTTGTGTAACACAGACTGTGTTGCCCCACTACAAACCACCCTGCGCGTTTCAATTAAGTGAACTTTAAATTTCTCGTTATTTTTTAAGCTTAATCACATCACTACATCAGGCTGAGATTCCCAGCTGACTGAAGTGAGTCAGTAAAAAAGAACGCAACTAATATTAACTGTTAATTTCAACAAATTAGCTATTTTAAATTATTTTATACATGAGTAATTTATAATAAAAAATATATGGGGCTTTTTATGCTAAATCTGAAATTAAAAAATCTAAAATTTCACCACTTTTTATTCATTTTTGCGGATTTTACAGTACTTTAAAATGAACAAAATACATATACTTATAAACAATGGAAAGTAGTGTTCCTTTGTTTTAGAATATATCCGAAATTAGACAGTAGTAATATTTTGAAAAACCGCCATTTTTAAAAATCTGTAAAAAATCATATTTATAGTCCTAACATTTGCGCAATTTTTGAGTACCGCACCGCAAAAATTCATATTTTAGGTTTTTTTAATTGTTTAGGTTTACCTACTCTAGGGCAATTCCATTACTAACGGGACCAACAGAAATACAACAAAATGTTTTATGAAAATTTTTGAAGATGTGTTGTTCCTTTAATAATAATTTTATGATAGTTCTCAGCAATAAAATTAAGTAATAATAACTATTATTGTTATAGGAACAACATATCTTAATATTCATAAAACATTTTGTCTTGTTTCTTTTTGTCCCGTTAGTAATCATGGAATCGCCCTATAATAGACCCTCAAAATTTGAAGCAAATCCGTTTTTCGCGTCCGATCTGGCATATATTATTTATCTCACTATTTATTTATACAACTATTCTGTAAAACGAAATACCTCATAGTGCCCCTAGTATACTTAAAAGCTTTTTTGTGTTTTTTATTTGGAAAGGTAGCTAAAAACTAAAAACCTGTCAAAAGCATAAATTGTTATAACTTCGTTATTCCTGAGAATTTTGATAAAGTAACTTTTACATACCTACACATTTATCTACATTTTCATTCAATTTCTTTACTATATATTTTTAACTAAATTTTAAAAATGTAGTAAATTAAATACATCGTTGGATTCCTTGATTTTTTTATATAACCATCTTAAGAGATGTATGTAATAGGAAAAACAAAAACAAACTCAAAATGTAGTGGGCAAAAAAATTTCAAATTGACAGGTTTTCAGTTTTTTTTAAATTTATTTTTCTCTAAATTTAACCAGCTCTTAATTGCTTCGTTTGTCCGCCATAGGGCTTTAAAAAAAAACAAATACAGTTGACGTATTTTGGTTCTATATCATTGTTTAATGTTTGCTGTAAATTTGAATTTAATATGATTATTTTCAAGATTCATTAATGTTAAAAAATAAAACATTAAAACTATTTAAAACCACAACTTATAAGTATTACATAATATTGTAAAATTTAGGGTCCACAATTAGCTTACATATTATATTTGTCGATAAAACCCATTTATAATTATTTTTTTACAGCAGAGAAACACTACCTGAAATAATAAACCTTCTAGTTTTATCTAAATAAAATATAAAAGTCTTGTAAATATATTCAACGAATCTTTCTTACCTTCAGCGTCAGTAAGTCCAGTCTCATTTAACATAGAAATATTTTCCAATGCTGGATCGTCAGTTGTGTATCCAGTGGACTCCCTATCATTGAGTAAAGGCTCAGAGGCGCCTCCATCTTCGTCTTCCGACCACTCTGATATGCTGCCTTCAGCGTGGTGTTGGTTCTCCAGAAAAACGTTTTCCAGATTTTTTAGTTTCTCTTGAACCTTTTCCTCTAACAGTCTTTTAACCTCTTCCTCCTTTATTAGAAAAAAATCAGTTTTTATTTAGATTGTTAAAACAAAAAAAAAATCGGTAAAATTAAAATTTAATTGTATATCAACCTACCAATTCTTTATCCACATGCTGCATTTTGAGCAAAAATAGCATTTTTTAATTATTGACATAAAAAATAAAAATTATTTTAATTTATTTACCTGAGCGGCTTCTTCGAGCATTCTCTGTTCTTCCCTTTCAAAACTTTCAATATCGGTATCGTCGTCATTTTTTTGCACTCGCATATCACAGTCAAAATCTTGCTCTTCAGTAGACCTAACAGATCTAAAGACAAAAAAAACAGTTAAAATTAATCCCACAATTTAAGTTGGCGGTTTTATTAATCTTATTTTACAAACTGGCAGTATACTATATATAGTACTATATTCAATTACCAGACTAATAAAACCGACTTTTTATCACTAAACATTTAACTAGTTTTTTAGTCAAGTGTTTATTAATTTTGAAGCGCCTTAATTAATTTTCATTCCCCCTTGCAGGCTTTGTTAATAAATAGATTGTTTGTGTATCTTGTGAATGTTCTGTTTCTAAAAACATTCAGTCATGATTATGTGATTAATTGCAAGCATGAACGGTGCTGAGCAAGCAGCTAGGATCAGTGTTTGTTAGTGAAGCATTCATAAGCTAAAAGTCTATATTTGTGAGGCATATTATTTTCGTGACATACAAGCTTTGTCAGAGAATATTAAGTTTATTATATATTTTCTTTTTAAATTTTTGTTATAGGGGCCGTCCTTTAATCACGTGAGGTGTTTTTAGCCATTTTTTACCCCCCCCTCCCCCCTGGTGATGCGTCGTGAGGTTTTAGGCTACCCCTCCCCCCCATTCAATATCACGTGTATTTTTTTAATATTACGGAAAATATTTTCTTATTAAAAAATATTTTGTGTATTTAAAAAAATATTTTTTTTATTGGAAAAATATTATGGAAATAGTATATTACAATACAAGAGTTTATCGAGACGCGTAGAGACAGTAGTAATCATTTCGAAATTTGCGTCGTGTGACACGACTCGTGTATTGTATACTTTTTTATTTTCAGCCAGTTTTTTAATTCAAAAACATTCGTTTTTATTAATAAATTAGAATATTATGCATTTTAATTTCATTTATTTTAGTGAAATAATTAAAAATATCAAAAAACAATTTAATTTTAAGTTAGAATTTCTAACACAATAATGCATGTGCTGCAGCGAATTATTTTTATTGTTGAATTAAATTGTTAGCTGAATTAAAATGTTTGTTGAAAATTATTTTTACTAATAGTAATGGAATGAAAATGATTGTTAATTAAATTACTAACAATTAAAATGTTTGTTGATAAATTTTATGTGCTCGCAAAACTTGTGCGGCACAACAATAATATTCTATATAATATGGTATTAAATAGTATTAAATATAATTAAAAAATGGGAGTGAAAAAAATACAATTAAAAAAGGATTTTAATAAAAATGAATAAAAATTTAAATTAAAAAAATGGAAAAAAAATAATAAAAATTAAAAATAAATAAAAATTAAATTAATACACGTGATTGTCCCAATATACCCTCCCCCCCTCATGGTGATCAATCGTGATGTTATTCTAGCCCCCTCCCCCCCTGTTTGAACCTCACGTGATTAAAGGACGGCCCCATATATATTACTCATTTTTAAAGGGCAAGTGTTAAAGCAGCAGTTTAAGTCAAATATTTGAGCTTTACGGATTTATTACTTAATTTAAGTAATTCTATTGAAAAACCTTAAAAACCTAAAAAGTAAACGATACACAAACACCGGTATGCTGGTTATAAAACGAAAACTCGTCCACGCCGCGTATGTGACGTCACGTGCGAACCAGATTCAAATGTTACAAACAGTTTTGCATAGGCATACGCTATGCACGAGTGTTTTACGATTTCTTTTAAGTTTTTTACGCAATTATTGTGTTTTCCGAGTCATAAGCCACGCACGGGGGTTTTGCAATGTTTTCACTGCATTTATTAAACAGCAATAACTATTTACAAGGCATTTATAAGTGTTTCATACCAGGTAATTTTTATTTATTTTGTGTTATTTGTGGGAATTAATAACTTTTAATAACTATTTAAAATATGCCGGGCTGTGCTGTAGAAGACTGCAGAAATATGAATAGAAACACCAAAGGCATTAAATATTTTTGTTTTTTTGGCAGCGCAGTGGATGAATGCGTGCAAGAGAAAATTTCGCCATTTTAGATTGTATATTTATTTTCTCAATAAAGACGTTTATTATTATTATTATAAAATAAAAATAAAAAATGGGAAGTTAAGGGAATTTTTGGTATACCTACTCAATTTTCTGTTAGTAGGTACTTAAAGTAAGTTTTCACCCTAGCCACACATTTTTATACAGCTTGCAAAAGTTTTTACTAATAATAAAAATTAAAACACAATTGTTTTGAAAACCCTCTTCCAAAGCGTCACAAGTAAAAAAAGCATTTTTTAGATGTTTTTTGACGTGTGCGTTATTATTACCTGTATAAATGCATTTTTATTTTTTGTTACCTACTTTTCACATTAAGAAAATGTAAAATTCGGCCTGGCGCGCCATGGCGTAAGTAAGTTAATTTAATTAAATAAAAAATATTTTGAAAAATAATAGGAAGGTAGGAAAATAATTGTGCTTAAAATATGTTACATTAGTATTAAAAGCGCTTGCTGCCAATTTATCTTTCTCATAACATTCGTTAAACTTAATAATTGTACCCAGGCCGTCCCTATATTTATAAATTTTTATATATAACGTGAATTTGCAGTGCTAGTAACATTCCAACCCAGTTATCCGCCAGCTTTTGGTTCGCACATACCGGTTTTTGTGTATTGTGTGTTTTTATTGTGAATTTTTTTACTTTCTTCAATAACCATAATGTTTAACAACTTTGAGGTATTTTAAAGATGTTTATTAAACGTAATTTTTAGGGAAAAAAATGACTTATAGGTTTATTTTAAGGAATTTTTAACGGTAAATTTAACGTACATATTTTTACCCTAAACTAAATTTTTCTTATAAGTTATATTTTTACTATGGTATTAGTAAAATTTATTTAAGAGGTAAAATATAAAATTTAAATTTATTTTATACAAAAATAAAATATAATCTTTCAATCAATACGTTTAAGGTTTTTATAATAATTATTAAGTTTTTGGATTTATTTATTTTGTCAAAAGTCAAATATATTTTTTTAAACACTAAAATAGTTAGAAGGCATATATTTTTTGTGATAGCTATTTTTATCAATAAGATAAGATGCATTTGAGTTTTAATGATAAATTTAGTTAATTTTTTAGTTTTTTTTCTTGGTACTTAATAATTATTACCTACTTTAGGTATACCATTTTAAAACATAATTTAAAGAGACAAAGAAAATATAAATGTTAAAGGTTTAGTTTTAACGTTATTTTTACTTAAATGAGTAGTATTTTATTTGTTTTTCTTACGTTATTCTTTGGTAGCTTGGATAGTTAATATGTGTTGGTAATTTTTTGTATCTGTGCCGTTATTTTACCGTTTTCGTTTACTGTAAAAAGAACTTAAAAATGCCATATAGAAACACAAAATAAAAATCTATATGGTTCTATCTGGTTCAATATAGGAATTTGAAACAGTCATTGCAATATTAAACCAGATAGAATTTCATACATGGAAAACCATAAAGAAAAGTGATTTCTATATGGATTGCCATATAGGTTCAGATTGAACCATATTGGAGCTTTATCTGGCCCAATATGGTTTAATATGCAATTTTCGTTTAAATATATATACATTTTAAAATGGAATTCCATATTCAACCATATAGGGAAACCTATTATAGGTTTCCATATAATATGGAAAGAGACATACAACAGAACCAGATAAATCCATATAAAAATCCCTATGTTGTACATTTTTAAATGAAATTCCATATTAAACCATATAGATTCCAAAGTTTAAACCATGTGGTTCCATATAGGACATATAGAACCATATAAATCCATATTAGTTTCCTTATCTGGATCAATATGGGTTCTACAGGGCATTTTTAATAGGGTTATAAGCAGTGGCGTAGCTAGCCTCGAGGGGGCCCCGTATCAAAAATCTGGTAGGGGCCCTTATACGGGAAAAGCTACTGGCAAAAAAATTTCTGGATGTCACGCCCAAAGTCTATTTTGGGCAAACAAAAACTATTTTTTAGCGTATCATTTTTTTCCATTTACCAATTTTTTATAATTTAATAAATAATACCTATATTTATACACAGCTTTTTATGTACAGGCAAATTTTAAAATTTGGTCTGGTTATTTACCGTTCTTCAACATTTTTTAAAAGGTTTCTATTTTAAAATAAAGGCAAGTCATTTGAAATAATTGTAACGCTAATAATTATTTCTAATTTAACAGCTAGCCTCGAGGGGGCCCCGTATCAAAAATCTGGTAGGGGCCCTTATACGGGAAAAGCTACTGGCAAAAAAATTTCTGGATGTCACGCCCAAAGTCTATTTTGGGCAAACAAAAACTATTTTTTAGCGTATCATTTTTTTCCATTTACCAATTTTTTATAATTTAATAAATAATACCTATATTTATACACAGCTTTTTATGTACAGGCAAATTTTAAAATTTGGTCTGGTTATTTACCGTTCTTCAACATTTTTTAAAAGGTTTCTATTTTAAAATAAAGGCAAGTCATTTGAAATAATTGTAACGCTAATAATTATTTCTAATTTGCTATTAATATAACCTATGATATAACACGCAAAGCATAATCAGTATGCGGCGCAGACAACGCATAGTGGAAAGGTGCGGGCAGAAACAATTCGTATGCGTTCACGGCCGCGTTGGAACAAAAGGGTATTCAGGAAAATTTTAATTTAATAAATCTATAATAATAATTCAATAATCATTGATACGGTTGATACCGCGGTAGCTACGCCCCTGGTTATAAGTAAACATTTAGTTATTTTAACTTAAAATGCTTTAATTAAACATAGAAAATGTGTGTTTATAAAAACAGATTCTTACAAGCTTTATTTAAAAATCACATTATTTGTGACAGTACTAAACCATTTCCTATGCACAGTGTCTTCGTCTTCTACATGACTTAAGCGTACGCTCAATTTCTCACGAAGCTTGTACTGCAGAGCCATGTCATATATGTTTACCTATCAAAAACACAGTATAATGATTATGATATATTGTGTTAAGATAAAAATTATAGATATGTGCACCTTTTTGCACTTAAATAAAAAAGCTGTAAATAAGCATACAAATGAGTGCCTTAAATAATTAATATTAATAAAAAAGCGTTATTGGTTAGTTAGTAAGCAAGATTAAGTGTAAAAACAAAAACAAAGCATTGTATGCCACCGCTGCACCCCAACTGAAATACCTGTCGAGAGGCGACACTTTGGGCTGCTTGTGCGGCTGCGCGTCAAGCGTTACGCGCAGCTCGGGCGGCGACTCCGCGCCCCTCTTAAGCGAGCCCTCCCTGCTGCTTGCCCTCGGGGGCGACATGCACTGCAACGTCACGCTGCCTGCGGCCGGGTTGACGCGCAGACCCAGCGCCAGCGCCTGGATCGCGGCCAGCCCCACCTGGTGGTTGTTGTTCGCGACCGCCACCGCGGGGTGCGTTTGCGCGTACCTTACGAGCGGCCCGAGCGCGAGGTCTTTGTTCTGCTGCGTCAGCTCGTACTTGGGAGGTATGTTCTGCAGCAGGTTCTGCTCGTCCAGCAGCTTTTGGATTTCGCGCTCGAACGCTATCGCGTTGTCGCAGTTATCTGTGGAAAAAAGATGATTATAGTTTAAATTAATGTCCGAACGAAACACGATTTTTAGCCGAAACCAAAACTTATGTAGTTAAGTTAAAATTTAATTCAATTTTTATTATACCCTGAACCTAGTGTTTTTCATAGCTTTTTAAGATTTTTCAATTAGATTAATTGGGTAGATGTATGTTAGGGTGAACGTTATTTACCAAGTTTTTTTTTCAACAACGCCCTCTCTATATTAAACCCTGCCAAAACCTTTAAATAACATGAAATTTTTTTACTTTTGACATTTTTTTTCTCTTAAACAGGTACCTAAATATGCAGGAATTTTTAATGCATATTTTTGTCAAAAATTAAAAACTCTACAAACAATATTTTTTACCAATTTTCAATAAAATTACTTATTCATAGTCAAAGTTATTGTCCATTGGCCATTGGTCAATACGCCTGCTTGTGTACTAGGGTAGGCTGTTTAAAGTTGTGGTTTTACTTCAGTAACAACCCTACAATATCTTTAATAAAAAAATATATTTAAAATCTGCGCAAGTGGATTAAAAGTTAATCAACTTAGTTTAGGATAAAAGGATTAAAGGCTGCTAGAGGACCAGTGTATAGTTACATGTAAAGTCAAATAAAAAATAAATAGAAATAATAATGGCTTAACAAGTCTGCGCAATTAAATTCGTTTTTTAATAATTTTGTATAAAATTGCCAAATTTACATAAAAAATACGCTAGAGAGGTTTTACATAAATTTTAAAATTCTTTACAAAATTATTGATTTTTTTAAATCTACATTTATGTGATTCTACAAAAATTGGGCAACTTTTGACCTCATTTTGTTTATATAGTTTTCGGAGAAAATTAAACAGTATATTTTTATGAAAACATAGATAATATAATAAATATACTGACCGGGCCAGTCACTTTTTCAAACAGTTTCTGTGTTTTCTAAATTTGAATGCAAGTGACGAGTATACCAGGGTACTAATTAAATACATAATTTATTGGAAATATAAGATTTATTGCAACTTTGAGCATATTATACATTTAATATCTTAAAATCAAATAATACCAAACATCAGTGGCGGCTGGTGGATTTTGGGTATACCGATATCTCAATTATTAGATAAGGGACCCACACCAAATTTATATCAGTTTATAATGATAATAAATAAACAAGTTCTGCGCAAGCAGAATTTAAATTGAAGTTTGCGAAAAAAAGATGAATGGGATACAAATTTGAGATTATAATTCGGAATTAAGTATTTTACTGATGTTTTTTTATTAGTGGATGCTACTTATCAACAAATCAAATATCAGCCTTATATAAATTACAATGAAATATATAAACTAATAGAATAAAGTTAAGCATATTAAGATATTTTGACCAAAACATAAATTTAACGATACAATTTTTTACGCCCTGTATACTTTATTTTAATATTTGGTAATAAAAACGTAAAAATGAAAGAATCTTAGACAAAAAAGAACGAAGTCGAAAAAACGCATTTTAGGTATCAGTCGGTATCCAGTTTGATTTCAACTTTGTTAAAAAATATGCTTAACTTTTTTCGATCAGTTTATATACGTAAGAAAATAACTACTCACCACAGTACTGAAATTTTGACTGGAACTATACGTGCATTCACCACAACTTCGCCTGTAGGTAATTTTTTTACCAACACTTGAGTTAAAACGAGGACTTGCCGTTTAAAGTTTAAACTTTAAACTTCAATATTTCGCAGGAATTTTGAATTTTAACATTGGACACAGAACTGACAGGTAAAAGTGAGTAAAAAGATTATTAATTTTTTAAAAATTGCTATTATTTGAATCCATGATAAAATATGAAAAATACATTATTTAATGTTTTATAGTTTCTAGTGAAATTGAAAAATTTAAGATAAATTGAATATATTTTAAAATAAAATCACTCAAATATTTGATTCAGGAGTTGTGACACGCCAAGGTTCTGATGTTTTGAATATTTATTATGTTTAAAAAGTTAAAAAACCTGGATCTTATGTAATATACTAAAATATTTACAAAAAATATTAAAATACCTACTCTATTGTCTGATGACATCAAGTTGTCCAACTTTTGTAGAATCACCCATAAAAATACTCTAAAGAGGTTTTATGTAAATTTCCGAATATTTTATAAAATTATTAAAAAGTGAATTTGATTGAGCAGACTTGTTAGGACGTTATTAGTTTTTTTGTATTTTTATATGATATCTAAAGATGGTATTTTAGGTTGCATTACTAATAAAAATAGGTACCTAAATAGGTAAACTGTTTTCTTGTTTTAGGTAAGAACATTCTTAAATTAGGTTCTTTTCGAAAATAGGTACTGGAAAACAACTTTTAGGTGGTAAAATTATTTAATTTATGATTGTATAAAATTTTATTGAACAAGATTTGTATGATTAAAAAATTTGGAAATAACTTACAAATATATCTTATAAAAAATATCAAAATACCATTATAAATTTTATAATTTTTTAAGGCAGACGCACAAAATGTTTTTATAAATGAGCATTTAATTGCTGACTTAAAAATTCAAACGTATTATGATAGAAATGTTAAAAAAATACTTTCTCATGAAAAAGCAAACATTTTACAGAATTAGTAAAAATCCAACATTGCACAGGTCACTCACGTTATTCACGTCACTCACGTCATTCCCAGTTGGTAATGTGGGTTGGTTGGTATACCAACCAACCCACATTACCAACAAAAATAACTACATAGTGCATAAGAATTATGTCATCCAAATACAACAACCCCAATTTTACAAAAAGCATGTTTTTGATGATACAATTTGAAAATTTCATTTGTATTAAAAATAAGAATTTAGGTGAAACAGGTAAAATAATACTATATTAGGTGGTAAAATTTAAAAATATGGTCCATTTTTCTTAAAAATTAAAATTTTCGGTAAAATAGGTCAAATAAAATCAGGGTCAAATGAATTTTGTTTTTCAAAACGGATTTTAAACCATTGCACCTTAAGTTAGGATTAGCATAGACAAATAGGTAATAAAATTAAAATTCCAACTCTAATGATATCACAGTGGTCCTCTAGCAGCCTTATTAAAACCAGGTACACTAATTAGTTTTATAAAAAAATCGATTTTTTAATCCACTTGCTCAGACACCAAATATATCTTTTTTAATTTAAGATTTTTCAGGGTTGTTACTAAAGTAAAACCCAACCTTTTGACAACCCCCGGTTATCGTTGCTTAAAATCGAACTTTTTAGGCCTACTACAGTGGCAAGCAGCCATATTGACCATGGACCCAACTTTTACTATGAATAACTTATGAAAAAATAATTTTATCTTAAATTTGTAACAAAAAATCTTATTTGTAGAGAGTTTAATTTCCCACAAAAATGTATGTATTGGATATTGCTGTAGGTATATTTTACTAAAAGTAAAATAAAAAAATACCATGTTCGAAAAATGTATCGTGTTTTCAGCAAGGTTTAATATTAAGCATTTGGATTGTTGAATGGAAGTTGTCGCGATTTTACTATTGCGCATGTGCCTGACGTCCATTTGACTGTCCAGGAACAAACCTAATATTAAGAACTTATTTGTTTAATCATTTTTTTATAAAAACTAAAAATTTAGGAACCGCTGTAAAAAAAAACTTGGTAAATAAAGGACACCCTAATGTATATATTAAATTCAATAGTTACCTGTATTGTTTACTTTCGCATTTGGTGAAATCTTATCCCTAAACCCAGATGGCGACATCTTCAGCCTTCTCAAATCCTTCTTATCCGTTTGACAGGACCCGTCCTTCTTCAAACTCTTATCGCTGCATATCGAAGTTTTCGTATCATCCTCTCTGAGCAACTCGCGAATTTCTTCCGCCTCCTTAAAGCTGGGCGATCTCTTGCAATTCGAAGATAACTTGTTGCACTCCAAAATCGAGTCGCTATCGTTCCTCGCATGCTTATCGAGACTCTTCTGCTTGATGAAGGCGGATTTAGGAACTTGTCCGTTGGCGCTGGCCGCGCGCAACAGTGAGGTAGGTTTCTTTTTGCTGACGAACTCGAAGCTGGTGCAGCTGTCACCTCGGTAACTTTCGTCGCCGCCTAAAACCGGGGGGCTTGTTATAATTGACGAATCAACGGTGTTGCAGGTGGCTGCTAAAGCTAAGACTGCATTCGGGGGTAGGTTGTTTCTTTTTCCACCCGCTCTATCACTCGAACTGTTTCTTAGAGAGCAATTGGGAGGTATGTAGTCAAGAGAGGCTCTGGGGGAGACCTCGGGGGAAGAGAGGGGGTTAACTTGAATGTCCGAGGGGAATAAGAATTGTTGTGTGTCTGTGGGCAGAGGAGGAGAGACACAGGGTGATGCGTCTGCGTCTGTGGTGCGGCTGTAGCTCTCATCTGAACTACTTATGCTCGGCGAGTGGTTTAGGGAACTAATTTCGTCGGCGGAGGAGTGTATGCGTTGAGGTACGCCGCTGCTGTATAAGCCGCCCAGGCTTTCGTCAGAATAGTGCCTTTGCAGTGGACTGTGTCTGTTGTGATGTGGGCTACAAAGAAATTTAAAGGTTGTATTTTAATCTCATGAATTATAGTCAAAATTTTGAATGGTGTCTTACCTATTTCTAGAATGTAAAGGACTATGCCTGTTCGCCAACGGATTATGCCTCGTTTGAATCTTATTATTCTTAATTAACTCTGTCTCTGGAACTCTTTGCTGTGATATTTGCACAAAACTTTGATGTGGCGGAGGAATTGGACCCGAATTTTGCTTTCTATGATGTCTGTTGGGAGATTCTTTACCTACAAAACACATTTTAAACAAAAACTACACTATAACTCAAATCTCTTAGGTACCTGGTGGTTTTGGCAAAGGCTTTAAGTAAGGCTTCATGTTATCTAAGGGATTGGCGTTGATTGACGTGTAAGGGCTAGGACCTCTTGGCCAGGGTGGATTGTACTTCATTTCCTGGGCCTGCCAGTTATTTTGGGAGAAGATGTTTTTATGCGGGGGTAAAGGCGGGGGAGGTAGGTTCTCTTCTTGAGGAGGTTTCTTACCACTTCTTGTATTAAAACAATTTGCTGAAAAAATATTTATTTAAAATTATTATTGGTAATAATCGGTAAATATCCGGTTTCCGGCCTATATTTACTATCCGGCCGGATTTGATTTAACAAGAAATAAAATAGTTTGTTAAACATATAATTAAGTTAAGTACATCACTTAAAAATACAAAATGTAATATGCATATTATGTTTAAGTATTTGCTTTTTAGTGCTATGTAACACATAACACAATGTTTTGAAAATGTTGGGCATTTGGAGAACAATATTTATAATTGTAAGGTTGATGAAATGTTGTACAGTTGATCTTATTTTATTTATTTGATAAATTGATATTCATTATTTAATATGTTAAGACTTTGCTTTAATATCGGCACAAGAAATACTTGTTAGAATTTTCTTTCTATTGTTTAACGGTGTTGATAAGGTCGAAGGGGTCGAGCCCGGGATCACCAGTAATTATCAAGTTGTTGTGACATTGCCTTATTTTATTATTATTGATAATCATTTTATTTTACTATACTTGATTTGCACTGACATAATTGTATTACTTTATTATACCTGATTGTGTTTGTTATTTATGACTGTACAATTAAATTGCATTACCATTGTCCACTACTATACCACTTGTTATTTATATAATTATTATTATTATTTATTTAATTTACCACTGCCATTTATTATTGTTGTTTTTGACCTGAGTTATATTATACTTTATGTTTCACATTGTTGTTGTTTGTTGCTGTACATTGATAATTAATTCAATTTGTATTTGCTTTTCTACACCATCCGAGTCTATGATTTATGTAGGTAAATATTATTAGCAATGTGATAATATAATTGATTATATTCATATTGATTACTTTGATTTTGTTGTATTATTAATATTGTTGAGATGTGCAACATTTATGCATGTCTTTTTTTAGATAATCCAGATAACTCTTCCTGCTAGCAGTAGCGTAACTAGGAGGGGGCGGGGGGGGGGCGGTCCGCCCCGGGCGGCACTTCTTGGGGCGGCAAAAATCGTGAGAGAAAATGCGAAAAAAACTGGAAGACAGAATATAAAAATAAAAAAAATATTTGATAATTAAATATTCTCTTTCGAAATAATATAATTCAAATTCCAATAGATTTGAGATTTATACAATTACACCAAAAATATTCCAAATCAAATAAAGCTAGCAAAAAATAGAAACAATTCCGGTATTGTACCTTTGATGAGTAATCAGTCTACCAATAAAGGTTTTCGAGAAAAGCTGCCGGCCCACTGCAATTCTGGATATGCGTTCGCACATCGCGAGCATTAATAAACCTCTCTTCCCCCCCACTGCTGCCCCGGGCGGCACTTTTTCTAGCTACGCCGCTGCCTGCTAGAGTTATTATATTTATTTTTTATTGTTTAGATTATTATTGCTATTTATGAATGGCAGTGTACTGAACCGCGGCGGTACCTTAAAATTTTATTGTTACCCTATTGAAGACGATTATTCTATCCGTAAATTTCTTATTGACAAAAAACAGAAATAAACCTAATAAAATAGCTTAGAAAACCAAAAATAATAATTATAATTTTTTAGTTTTTAAAAACAAAAAAATATTTTCCTTGAGCGGGATTGAACCGAAGACTCTAATTTAACTTAAAGTTTTTTTAGCCTCCATCCGGAAAAATACAAAAACCGAAACTGCGACGGAAAATGACATTTTACCGGAGTTACGACAATAGCTGGCTCAAGCTAAATTTAGAAAAAGGAAGTAAATAAGAAACTTAAAAAAAAACAAGACTGTAGAAACAAAAATATTCTTTTATTTCTGTAACTTTTTTCAAGGAAATTTTTGTTTTACATATTTCATTTTTATTTATATCGAATATTTTTAAAATACACAATTTTTTTTAATATTTTTATTAAGACGTCTACTTAATTTTCTTGTATTTTTAGCGTGCAACGATAAATTTCCAGCTATGGTATTCCACTTTTTTTAGTACATCTAATATAAGAATACCACACCACTTCTACTTTTTAAATTCAGTACACAAAAAGTAACAAACGGTTTTTATAAATATAAAAGCAACATTTTATCAACATTTACAACATTTTTAAAATAAATATTCCAGATATTTTTGTGATGTTGAGGAAACATTAATAAAATATAAGGTAATGTTTTTAAAATGTTATGTTGCAAAAATGTTGTGAAAAAATATTGTATAAATATAAAAATTGGGACATCTAAATGTTGTAAAAACTCGTTAGAGGTATTTAAATGATAATGACTAATATTTCTAACATATTTAGGTTATTTAGCAAAAATATTCATTTAATATTTTAAATATATTTTTGTGTTATGTGTTACTGATGGCTATTTTGCTACTTAAGCTTAAGATTTGATTCAAAATAAGTATTTCAAAAAATATTTATCCAAGCCACACTCTGTCAATGCATTTTAAAAGTGTACTTAATGCTTAAAAAAAATAAGGAAAGTAAAGAGTAAATAAAATAAAACTACTTTTACCTTTGCACTGCATATTTGGCAACAGGGGTTCGTTTTCACAGCCATTGACCGCATGGTCTCTGGGACCGGTCTCGCGTAGCGGCGGCAACCTGAGCGGGTTCCTGATACCGGCCCCGTAGCTGTCGTCCCTCGAGTTGGAGCGGTTCGGCATCATGTGCTTGGGCCTGCCGGTGACGTCGCCGTGATGAAGTAAGGCTAAAGGCGTGGCAACCCCGCCGTACATGTTATTCGCGTCTGAAAGGGAAAATGATGGGGTCCAATGTGATAGATGGAAAATATGAGGGGTGCGATTTTTTGAAAATAATAATTTTGGTTCATATTTTCAAAGGAAATTGCAAGTTGTTTATGTACAGGGGTGTTTCCATTGTAAGAATTTTTGTTTTGATGGGTAAACATTTATGCTATGGACCTGAGCGATACATGTAGGTCATTTTTAGTAAAAAAAAATATATTTTTTTTGTACTCAAAATGACGTTTCTTATTTCTTGGTATAGCACTAGTATTTTATATAAATTTTAGATGGTTGTATCAAAAAATGCAGAATTAAATAAATAAGTACAATTCTTGGAAACACCCAAAAATAATATTTTTTTAATCATGCAAAATTAATATTGATTAAAAATGCACAAACAAAAAAATGTGCGATATAAGTGAACCAATATTAAAAGTTAGTGCCAGGTTAAAACACTTTATTAAATAAAGAGTAAAACAATACTAAAGAAAGTTAATAGGTGCTCATTTTATAAATTAATTGATTAATTTATTTAGTTAAGTAAGGTAATACTGCTAATACTTTACATAATATTTTGTATTGTACTTTGTTCACACAGTCCTGTATAATCTACGAAAAAGACTCGAAAAACATCCACACTAAGCGTTCTTTACATACATGCATAGTTTGTGTAGACGTGGAGAAATAATATCGCAGACAAGTAGTACGTATAACCAGTTGTGCCACTAAATAATAAACTCTAGACCCTTACTGCTTAAATTCGAGTTCGTTCTAATGCTATTCAGTTCCTCGACCCGTAGAGTGCCCGGCTGTTTCCGGTCGATTAAAAAGTACGTCGTCATGTCGCCCTTGCCCTTCACTTTCACCTTGCCGCGGCACTGGAACTCGTACGGGTACGTTCGCAGCACGTGGAACACCTCCTCGGTGACCTGCGTGTGGTTCGGCAACCCCGTCGAGTCCATTCGGCTCGCTACGTTCACGGTGTTGCCCCATATGTCGTACTGAGGCTTTCGGGCACCAATCACGCCTGCCACTACAGGCCCTATGTTTATTCCTGAAAAAAGAATTATAATACATGGGTCGCTCAGGATTGTTTTTTGTACTTGTGGCTGATTTGGTTAATGTTAAAAAATACAGAAAAATAATACAGAGAGTAATAATGCAATATAAAAATCATCTTAACCACATTTGGAAAAAAAGCTTCTAAAAAAGATTGTTTTTTACCTGAATTAAAAATTGGATGCACATACTTTTAGTAAATACAGGGTGTATCACATTCGTGGTCCATTAGAAGTTTCTGGGGAACGGAAAAAGATATCGTTTTGGACTTTTAAAAGCGTTTATAATCCATTAAAGTATATTTTTCTAAAATATTTTGAACAAAATGGCAATTCCGGTTTAAGCAGAAGTGACATCAACCTTATTATTTCAAATAAAACACATTAATTTTCGTTAAAATTTGACAAATGCGCGTTAATGAAAAATATCCTATAACTTTTTTGTTATTAGGTTTGCGAATATGGGCGTGAAATTTTTGTAATTCAAAACATTGTTTAAAATATTCTTTGTCAATTCTTTAACATTTTTTAACAAATTACCTGAGAAAACCCAGGGCAAATTAGACTAACTTGAAAAGTTAAAAACTTTCTTAATTTATTGTATTGTATTGTTTGGTCACCTTTTTATGTTAACCATAATATTAAACTAGAAAGAGTACAAAATAAATTTTTGCGATATTGCGCATTCAAACTTAACATTGAATGTACTTATTCTTTAGATTTAGTCAGAAATGTTGCCAATTTAGATAAGAACTGAATTTGGAATTGTAATAATAATAATAATAAACATCTTTATTGGTTTCCCAACAGGCTATCGACCGTGGTCTTTCTGCCCAATTTTACAAAAAAAATTTTATAAATATAATAATTGTTAATTGTAGTTTCAATATTGAATTTATATAAAAAAAAAGTAATAAAAACATAAATCTCAAATATTTTAGTCTTCGTTAGTGATGTCCGTGATTATCTCCCATAAAGTTTGTGTAGGATATTTCCTTTTGGGGGCAGGTTATGGTCTCTACCGTGCATTAAGTTTTCCATAATTTGTATGTTGTGGTGTTTTTTTGCAAATTGGCATGCCAGCTCCTTGAAACGTTCCAAAATGGGGGTGACCTGCGTTGTTTCGTATAGCAGTTGATTTGATGGATTATGAAGTGGATTATCTGGGTGTCTCATTTTGGTGATTATTCTCAAACTACTCCGTTCAGCCACTTCTAGCTTACCTACCGTAGTTTTTTTGCAATTTAGGTAGATTAGGAAGGCATATTCAATAATGGGCCTGCATATCATTTTATAGATTTTAATCGCAGTTTCAGGTTGTATACCGTTATTTTTGTATGTCAGGCTTCTGAAATTTTTGGCTCTTGTAATCATCTTGGTTTTCATTAATTTGGCATGTAAATTGAAATTGAGTTTGCTATCTAAATGTATTCCAAGGTATTTGCATGAATTAGATGGTCGTATTTGTTGATTAAAAATTTTTATAGAGGGGGAATTTATATTTATTTTGTGATTGAATATTATTAGTTGAGTTTTATTGGGATTTGGTTTTATTCTCCACTTGGAAAAAAACTGGATTATATTATTGCAGAGATTTTGTAAGTGAATCAAAGTGAGTTTTAAATTTTTCTGGTGTGCAATTAAAGCTTTATCATCTGCGAATTCTAGAATATATGTGTTAGGATTAAATTGTTGAGAATAGATGTCGTATGTGAATAGGTTGTATAGAATGGGGGATAAAGGAGAGCCTTGCGGGACACCTTGTTGCATAGAAAATGATTTAGATAATTTTTGATTGTGTTTAACTAGACTCAGTCTATTTTTTAGAAAGTTATTTATAAAGTGAATTAGATATTTTGGACAATTTAAGCTGTATAATTTGTATAATAGGCCGGCATGCCACACACTATCGAATGCTTTACTAATGTCCATGAAGAGAGCTGCTGATTTGTTGCCTTTTAGATTGTTTGTTTGAACATTCGAAGTTAGAATAAGCAGTGGATGGATTGTGGAAGAATTTTTTCTAAAGCCAAATTGATGGGGTGGAATCTTGTCGTCTAGTTCTTCTTCTAGCCTTATTTGTATTTTTATATAAACTATTGAATAATTTTATTAATTGCCCAGAATTGTTACGGCAAATAAATTTTAATTATTTATTTTATATAAAGACCCATAGAACCACTTATAGTAAATTTATGCCTTTAAGTAGAATCTGTTCTGAAGCAAACGATTTAAATTTAGATTTTTTCGATTGTTCCCTAACTGTCTTTAAAAGAAATTTAAAAGTATTATTATTGTAAAAATTGTAATTTGTAACGGGTTGATCCGTTAATAAAGTTATTATTATTATTAAATGTAACACCCGGTATGTTTTTACATAAATTATAATCATAAAGTAAATTAAAAAACCTTTCGATTGATGTAACTATTCCCTATACCTAATGTTAATAATTTCAGAGATATTTAACAATTTCTGAGTTGACGGTATCTATGCATAGAACCATGGTTTCCATGTAATCTGTTATTGTTAAAAAAATTAATGGCGTCAATTTTTCAGGTTGTTATAAACAATTTGTTCACTAATTAAGTGTTTTTTAAACAATATTACTAATAAAAAATAGCAGTCAGTGACTTATACAAAACATTGACAAGACAAACAATTTAAAAATTATGTAGAAACATACCAGGTGTTACATTTAAAATAAAAAAGTTATTAACCAAAGATATTATCTTTGGTTATTAAACTTTCAAGTTTCAAGCCTAATTTGCCTTGGGTTTTCTCTTTGTTAAAAAATTTTAAAGAATTGACATGGAATCTTTAAAACAATGTTTAATATTCCAAAAATTCCACTACCATATCCGCAAACCTAATAATAAAAAAGTTATAGGCTATTTATGATTGTCGCGCATTTGTCAAATTTTAACGTAGGTATAGGACATAGACTTAGAATATTGTAGAGAATTTAAAAATATATGCGGTGTTCTATTTGAAATATCAAAGTTCATGTCACTTCCGGTTAAACCAAAAGTGGAATTTTGTTAAAAATATTTTAGAAAAATGGGTTATAAACGCTTTTAAAAATTCACATCGATATCTTTTTTCGTTCCCCGGAAATTTCTAATGGACCACGAATGTGAAACACCCTGTATACAGTTTTAATAGTACTTACCAACTCTTAGCATAAAATTATTATAGGAATTCTCGTTAATATTCAACAATCTGTCCCTCATGGCGAACACAAACTCGACAAGCGTGCTTAAATGAATCCCAGCCGTAGTCTCATCTTCATCTATAATTCTCAGATCGGGCATAAGCCCAACCGCTGCCATATACGTGGAACCAACCGTTTTTATCTTGTCGATCGCCTTGAACCTTTCTTCGTCTAAAAGGTCGTCAAAGTCGGCTATGATCTCGTTAAGGAGCCTCAGGCACTCGACGCCTTGATTGTTCCCGTCCAATTCCGTGTAGAACTCGTGATAGTTCGTGATAGAGGCGAACACCACCCCCACGCGCGAGTAGCTTTGGTGGTACAGCTCTTGGGATAGCGTGTTCTGGAAGAAATTATATTTTTTAACTCTAGAAATCACGATTTGATATGGTTTTATATTTATCACCAAATGTTCATCACGACACAATTAAAAACAAAAATAAACAAGCAAAAATTCCCTTACCATATTATTTCGAAATTGGTTGTCCAAGAAATGTGTGGCAACATGGGCGGGCAAAAGATTAAATAGGATCCTTTTGTTGGAATGCTGCAGAGCATCCATTTCACGTTTCTCTTCGTTGGCCTGGATCTGCCATAGAAAATCCAGACGTGCAGTCCATTCCACCTGTCTGCCGTGCAAAAGCACGGCAAGGACGAACATCAGGACCTGGACTACGCTCACTATATGGTTCGGTATCACAGACCTAAAAAAATGTGTAGAAAAAAATTAACATACGTTATTTCATTGTGAAAATATTTAACCCGTAACCGGTACTGTGGTGTCTGGGAGACACTCATCAACGAACAAAGCGCTGTCACACCCTCACCTTTTGTTTTAAAAATCTGTGGCTTCCAATACTTTTAAGTTGAGCAATTATCAATATGCCCTCAGACTTTGGATTGTCAAACGGACAAATTATTACGAGTCAAAGTGTTGAGGTGTCTAGTAGACCACTGTGTACCGTTTACGTAATTTTTATAAAACAATTAATTCCTTATGGATTCGCAACAAGGGCTTTCTAAAAGTGTCCAAAGTGATAAGAAAGGCTCCAAGGAAACTGTAATGTAGTGGTTTTATGATATCGACAGCGAAATAAGTGATATATATGACTGTAGTATACTACATAACCATTATAGTGATTATGTCGTTGAAGATAATCACATCATCGATTCAGGACTTGTCTGTGAAGAGTCTATAGAAAATAATTTTATATATTTTAATAATTTTATACCCTATAGGGTCAGATAGAGAAGAATTTGAAATTTTTTAAGAATTTGAAAAAAAACAAAAAAGTTACTATGGAAAAAATAATTGGAAAAATCAGTTTGCACTACACCCCTTTTTGTACATGTTTTGATTAAAACCTATTTGTTTAAATTTTTCTTTTATTTGGGTATTATTTTTGGTGATATTCTAACTTTATATATACACTTCTCCAAAAAATTAACGCACCACACCAAAAATAATTTATTATTTTTAATATGTTTTGAAAATGGTAAAGATAAAGGTACACACTATCTGTATATTTATTTAAAAATAGGTTTTTATTTATGTCAGAAAAAAATCCCTAAAAATAATGTTTTTTTCAAAAAATTAAAAATTAACAGAATACGATTTTTATAAAAATTAAAAATTTGTACTTAATATTGAGTATTTCCACCTCTACTACGAATGACAGCCTCACATCTTCTGTTTATACTCAAAATTAGGGTTCGAATTTCATTTTGGTCAAAATTCTCCCAAATGTCCAGTAGAAGGCGCTCTACATCCTCTAAGTTATTCGAAAGGTTTGGATGGTCCCTTAAACGTCTCCCAAGAATGTCCCAGATGTGTTCTATAGGGTTAAGGTCTGGACTGCGAGCTGGCCAGGCCATAGCATTAATCCCAACGGCAGGAAGATAATTTCGGACTACCTGGGCAGTGTGTGGTCGTGCTTTATCCTGCATTAGTAAAAAAATTGGACCTATAAAAGGGGCATATGGCACAACATGTTTTTCCAGAATGTTCAAAATGTAACGCTCAGCATTAAGGTTGCCATTTTTTATCACCACTAAGTCGGTACGTGCTGTTAAAGAAATACCTCCCCACACCATAATTGAGCCCCCACCAAATAAGGTCGTATTAAGGAAGTTACATTGGACATATCTTTCATTTGGCCGTCGAAACACTCTAACGCGTCTATCACATGTGTATAGACAAAATCTAGACTCATCTGTAAACAGAACTCGTTCTCAATCCGCTGTTACCCAGTTGACGTGCTCTCTAGCAAAATTTAGCCGGGCTCTGCGATGATCCACGGTTAAGAGCGGGCCTCGTGCAGGAATTCGGGGTTGCAAATTATCTTCCCTAAGTCGTTGTCGAATGGTTTCAATACTTATTCGAACCCCTTCTACGTTTTCCAACTGAGACTGCAACATTCTTGTAGTCACAAACCGTTGTCTCAAAGTTAAAAGTCTTAAAAAACGATCTTGAGCAGGAGTCGTAGCACGATTTCTACCCTGACCTGGTCTCCTAGTATGGCCACCAGTCTCAATGTACCATTGATACATACGAGAAATGGATGTATGGGATACACCAAACCTTTCAGCTATTCTGCGGAAACTCCAACCTTCTTGCACTAAAACAACCACTTGGGCACACTCATCGCGAGTTAAATTTCTTGATTGCCGTTGCATCTTGACAATAAGTGAAAATTAAAAAGTAAATAGAGATGATAAATGAAGTCTAACAAAACTGCGAGGCGCGGCGATACTTTAACCTGTTGTAGTAATTTACCAGAATTGGTATATTCGACATAACAAAAAAACTAAACATCTTATAAAAACGTTTACACACTTTTTAATAGTCATATACGAGGGTGTTTCAAAATTAATATAAACATTGTATTATTTACTTTGATAGAAAATTTTATTTACAAAATAATAAGTGGTGCGTTAATTTCTTGGAGTAGTGTAGTTCCTAGTATCCCCAAAGCCTCAGATAAAAAAAATATAAATTATAATTTTAAAAGGCAGGTGTCTCTCAGACCCCTTAGTACCGTTTATGACCTGAAAGTCGTACAGTACCGGTTACGGGTTAATTACTTACGTTACTCTTTTGTCATAACACAAAAACAAGTCAATGTGCGACAGCTCGATAAACAAAACATATACGGTGGACATGATGACAAGCAACGAAGCTTTCAGCAGTATGGGCAGTCGCAGAAATATGGCAACAGCTAAATAACCCAGTGCGCATGACAAAACAATGTACTGAGGCAATGGGCAGGCTCTGTGATCCCTCTCCATAACATTTCCAATGTCCAACGTTACGTTTGCCGTAGAGTGACTTGCGCAGTGTAGGTCTGATTTACAAGTAAACTGAAATAAGAATGCATTTAAAATTATTTGGCTACAATGTTATATTTTGAGTGCTTACCACATTGACTTGAGCGACAGTGTAGATCAGAACAATAGTAAACACAGTAATTGCCAACCTAAGTATGAAACTGTGCGAAATGTCCCAGATAATCCAGCGCAGGCGCACTGCTAAGAGCAACATGAGGACCACGGAAATCCAAATAAAAGCCGTTAAAAATAATAGCAACAGGATTAACGTCCTTGGAAGCACTGCTGCCTGCAAACTACCCAACAGTACTAGCAGGATGAGTGCGCAGGCTAACGCTGAGCTGTAGCCAACATCCAAATCGTCATGGTACTTTAAATAAACAAAAGTTAACAGGGCTCCCACGGCTAAATAACAAATTTAAACTCTACACTTTAAAAATAAGAAGAAAAAAAATAATTATTTTTTAACAAAAGTATAAATAAATATCACTTCTTTCGGACAAATAGGTTACATTGACTAGTTTCTTTATCCAAATCGCTCAACGAGTTTTTTTAATAAAGTGAGGTAAAATTACTACTTTTGTATATATCTGAGTTATATACACAAGAAGAAATTTAATCACACTTTTAATATTATTAAAAAAAACGCGTCGATAGGTATGGCTAAAAAACTACGTCAAAGTCAAATAATGTTATATTTATATTTTAAGAAAAAAAATGTAAACCGTTTAGTTAATAACCAACAAAACTTGTAATGTGGATCTTGTTACTTAAAAATTTCATAATAGAAAAAATATTGGATTTGTTTGAAGGTGGTAGACAATGTATTTTTGAACTTCCATTGTCTTTTTTATGATTAATCATAAAAAAAACAATGGAAGTCCAAAAATATGTTTCTAATCATTCCTTAGATTGTTTATTATTTTAGCTATCATTTAAAAGAAAATTAAAAATCCTTTTTTTTGATATATAACACGGTATATTTTTGTCAAAAACAAACGAAATATGGCTAAAAATGACAATTTCGTATACGAAACTTCTATAGAAGTCTAGGAGCTACTACATAGATTTTTTTTAGGTATATTTTGCTGTTTTTTAAGAAAAATGTAGGTCGTGATGTATCATTTTAAAAATAATTTAATAAACTAAAAATATATATGTTTTAAATTACCTTTTTAAAAAGAAATTTTTACCTTAATTAAGGGCCAGGTTGGCCTATTTATCATTAATTTTTAGGAGTTTTAGGACATTGATGACAATTTTAAGAGAATTTTAGGAGTTTTCAAGATTTAAGCCAAATTTTAGTAATTTTATGAGTTTTAGGAGGTGTTGGAGCCCTGAGTTAAATACAATTTTAAAATTTAATTTAATAATAAAAATATGAGATACTTAATGTAAGTTTCTCTTCAATAAACTATATATTCTCACCTGATTCTCTTTGTTGCTATCTTTAAAACACAGCGTGAACAAATTTACATGAGTGGATTTCTCCCTGTCCACACTTCTCGCCTCGATGGCCTGCGCCAAATATTTGTTGACTCTGTTCGAAGGTTGGTGATAAACGCTGGAGTGGCGTTTTTTAAACGGCCTTTTGAATTTCTCTGTTACCTTATTCTAAAAGCACCCACAAAGAATAAAATAGAGTTAAAGACAAAGGTCACACAAGACTGTTAAAATGTTTAAATGACTAGCAAATGTTTGCACTGATGACATTGAAAAAGTTAGTAAAAAAAAAATAAAAAAAAAAACATTGCCACAAAGGGGTTTTAATATACCGGTACAATTTTTGTATTGTACTGGTTTATCTAAAACGTCCTATATAAGCAGTACTTAAGTATAGGTAAGTTAGAGTGTAAGGTGAGGTAAAAAGGGAGCAGAACAAGGTTTTTAGTTTTGTTAACTTAATAATTTTTATCTTGAAAACTTAGTGTGCAAAATAACATATCGTAACATCTGGCTTACTTTGATTAACATCTTAATAGAAAAGAATAACTGCCACAAATACGTCAGATAAGAGTGTAATAGTATTGGAGATACTGACAAATAATAGGATTGAAATAGTGGAGAGAAAGATTTATTAAGACAAGATAAATGCTCGGCCAGACTAAGCGGAGGTAGAGAATATCGTTGTAGTATTTGATAGCTTTTTTAAAGGGTTATTTGTTAGTATTTGTAAGCCAGATAGTCTTTAGTTTTTTTTTTAAATTTAGGTGTATCGCTTTATCGAGAAGTAATTCAATGCATTCAAAATTGTTAACTAAAAATAAATACAATCTATTTTTTTGTCCATTTTTGATAGGTTTAACAAATATTTAAATTGGTTGGTGAAGTATTTTAAAAACACTGAACTATAGTTATAAAACAGTATCTATGAGTGTATACCGTATATTCACGCTAAAGGTATACAGTGCCGAATGTCAGCTTCCGAACGCTAGGGTAGTTAAAAAAAATCGAATATTTTTTTACTTTAGAAAGTGCCATACAAATTTGAACTCTTAATATTAATAGGAAGATCTTCCTCATCACAGTTTTCCATTTTTCTTTAGTCCCTTATAAAAAGACCTCATTTCATTATTAATAAATCGTTTTATTGAATCTTCTCAAATCTATTCATATTCTTCTGAATGCTCTACAAAAAACGAATGACGTGTTTAAGCGATTACTCTAACCATTTAAAAGATATTTAAGATCAAATTTTTGAATAATTTTGTAACACATTGAAAAATAATTATTGTCAAATAAGTATTACATGTTTTTGTAGGAAATTTAACGCTCAGCAAAAAATGTTCGATGTGTTTAATTGATTACTCTAACCGTTAAGAAGATATTGTTAAAGTAATCAATTAAACACATCAAACCTTTTTTGTAGAGCGTTCAATTTCCTACAAAAATATACTCATTTGATAATAATTAATTTTCAATGAATTACAAAATTATTCAAAATTTTTTTTTTAAATAAATTCTTTAAACTTTGATCTTAAATATCTTTTAAATGGTTAGAGTAATCGCTTAAACACATCAATCCTTTTTTTTAGAGCATTTAATTACTGTGAAAATACGGTATTAAAACGTTTATAAATGTACTGAAAAGTTAAATATAAATCTAAATTATAAGGAATAATATATGGTCAATTCTCATATAACTTGTTCCGATGCTGTATCCACTTATTTTTGTGAAAACTAATTCTCGCTCAAGGTTTTTTTAAGTGTAATAAGCATGTAGCATTTCAAGGTAATGGGAACTTAAATTATGACAACCCTAATCTATTCATTTTTTCCTAAAATGCAGGCTTTATGTTGCAAATGTCACATAAGTTACCGGTCACCAACTGCAATATCCTAACATCAATGAATATTTCAACAAAATGGCCGTTCAAACAACTAATGTTAGTGCTTGATTAACTAAAAATAGACTTAAGATTGACAAAAAATTATTTTATCCGAAATCGGCAGTAAAGTAGTCAACAATCGTAAATTAAAATAAATCGGCAGTAAAGTTCTACTTTACTGCCGATTTCGGATAAAATAATTTTTCGTCAATCTTAATTAAGTCTATTTTGAGTTAATCAAGCACTAACATTAGTTGTTTCAACAGCCATTTTGTTAAAATATTCATCAATGTTAGGATATTGCAGTTGGTGACCGGTAACTTATGTGACATTTGCAACATAAAGCCTGCATTTTAGGAAAAAATTTATAGATTAGGGTTGTCATAATTTAAGTTCCCATTACCTTAAAATGCTACTTGCTCATTACACTAAAAAAAACCTTAAGCGAGAATTAGTTTTCACAAAAATAAGTGGATACAGCATCGAAACAAGTTATTTGAGAATTTACCATATATTTATATTTATAAATGCATTAAACTTATTTCTCGATTGCGACAAACCCAACAATTTTGGTAGTACGAGCACGTTCAAAAAACATCAACCAATCAGCGAGCGGTTAAGTTCTAAAACTTGAAAAAAAAGGCGAAACGCAAGCTTGTCAGAGAAAAGATGGAGAAAACAGCGACGAAACTAGTAAATACTTAAGTATTAAATCTAGGCAAAAAAAACACCAACAAGGTCGGTAGCGGTGAGATGTAACTCACATTGGCCACGTTATCGGGGTAAGGAGTGGTGATGGTTGTTGTGGTCAGTTCTTGAGGGCGTGAAATTTCTGCATGGAGCACTCGCTGCAGTTCTAGCACCTATAAGCGACATTAGAACAACTCAAACACTGACACCGACACAGAAGACACCTACGTTAGACACTTTTACTAATATATCATATTAATACGACATCGACAAGCATACGCATATTTACAGACACCATGGACGCATTATATTTACAAATTTAGTTGAAATGGAGGTTGGAAATATATGGTTGTTAACATAAGAAATTAAGTCGCTATTAAAATTATTTTTGTTTTTTGAAAAACCAATATTTAATAATAATAATGATTTATTCCTAGACAAAACATTTAGGGAACATTCAAAACTTAAACGCATTATATTTACAAATTTAGTTGAAATGGAGGTTGGAAATATATGGTTGTTAACATAAGAAATTAAAGGTGAATTTATGCTCACTTAAAATAAGAAATAAGAAATAAAAATAAAAAATAAGAAATAAAAATAAAAGTTAAAGGTTTATAATTGCTAACATCAGTTTATGCTCACGAAAATAAGAAATAAAAAATAAGAAATAAAAATAAAAGTTGGCAATTTTCAACTTAAGATTCTTATTCTGCGTATTTTTGTGCGCAAAGGATTTATTTTCGTCATCAGCTGACAGGTTTTTGTTTCGCCCGGGAAATTCGCAAATACTTTTGTGCAATAGTTAATTCATAATTGTTGTGTTGTTTAATTACTGTTTGTACAATAATTAGTGTTTTTGGATTGTTTTTGTGTTTTTTTAATAGTTAATTCTTAATTGTTGTGTTGTTTAATTACTTTAAAAATTTCCCGTAACCCTGCGATTACGATTTAGCGGTCTAATGCTGTACCGCCTCGCAGCCCGTTTCTTACGAACAATTCTTTTTTGCAACAGTAAAAATGCTGTTGTAAGCAATAGTATTTTTTTAATTCTAATTCTCATTTTTAAAAGATTACCACAGAACAAACCAACCAAAGAAACCAGAAACGAACGCTTTGGGAACTGTCAAACAATCAATTTTAACCTCACTTTTGCATATTTTTCTTATTTCTTATTTTTATTATTTTTCCGACATAAATGACAACAAATGAAACTATTTCTTATTTCTTATTTCCTATTTCTTATTTTTTATTTTTATTTCTTATTTCTTATTTTTAGTGAGCATAAATTCACCTTTAGTCGCTATTAAAATTATATTTGTTTTTTGAAAAACCAATATTTAATAATAATAATGATTTATTCCTAGACAAAACATTTAGGGAACATTCAAAACTTAAAATATTCTAAAAAAAACCTGCATTCATCAATCATTGTCCATGAATTTCAATAAAATGCGCCCATGGAGAAATTTATTTGTATTTTATTTCTCTATGCAGACACAATCGACGCCTCCTAGGCTGAGTTTTTGAATTAACGTGTCGTTTTAAAGTTGTACTTTTGTAACAATTTATCAAGCATGCTTTACTTAAAATATAATTTTATATGTGTCTAACTAGGCTACATATAGTACCTGTAATATATTTTTAAATTTATGTGAAATATAGCTTTATACCTACAAAATACATTTATAATTGAAAAGGAAAAATTCAAAAGCGTCTAAATGTCAACGGAACAAAAATGTGTAAAATGTAAACTGTAAATTGGTGAAGTCCAAAAAATAAAGTTTCTAAATATTTTGTCTCTACATGTTTCTTTTTATTCTGAAACCAAAATTATTTTTTTTTAGAATCGGATATTATCCGTGTTAAACATTTAGAGGTCGCTCATAATTAGCAAAAAAGAATAAAATGAAACAATAAAATAAAATACTACTACATAAGGTAGGCTTTTGATGGCTCAAGAAACGGTTTTCGGTGATTTTAGAGATGCGACTTGAAAAAAAACGGACCGTTTTTTTTTAGGTTTTTTTTCACATTTTAGGTTTTTTTTCAAGATTAGTCCCATTTACCTAATTTTTTATGTTTCCAGTCCAGTTCATGGACTAAAATTAGCTACTAAATGACATTTAGTAAATGTAAATACAGTCTCGCGCTTGTTTTGATTTGGTCCTAAAAAAAGTAACTACCTATAATATTTTTGATTTTTCAAAAAGCTACCAAAAGCACTTTTTTTCATGATTTTTCAAATTCATGTAGAGTATGGAATTTTTTTTTAAACAATAGCAAATTTTTGTAAAACATTTATTCATTGGTGGTTTAGTCAGAACATTCCGTGGATCAAAAAAGAAAGCCAAAAAAATTTTCGAATTTTTTTTATTACGGTATGAAAAATGTAATATATTCTAACTTTCACTTTATTATTAATATACATTTTACCCAAAATTTCATTTGAAAAAATTACTCCATTTTTTAAGATTTATGTTATTTATTGACAGAATATGCTTTATTGTAGCGGATTTAAAAAAAACAAAAAAACCGTTTTTTTCTAGTTTTTTTTTTCATGTTTTTTCACATCTGAAAAAAAACCGTTTTTTTACATCTCTAGGTGATTTGCAACTACTAAGCGAACTGAATCTGAAATTCGTCCTTGAGTTACTAGTTGTATTTTTGAATAAGACATCATTCACCAATATCTCAACTTTTTCTTTAACGTTCATTATTTAAGTCAGCAAAAAAACGGTATTATTTTCGCTTTGATGAGTACAAAGCTAAATATCAATCTAATCCAAACTAAAACAAGTGACATTAATGCTTTAAAAAATATTTAAACTATGGGCGACCAGTAAATGGCAATCTAGAGGGATCAAATTTGGTACGAGTATTATTTAATAATGACATACAAAAATGCCCTATTTGCAGGCGATATTCAATAATGTTTTTTCTTCATACAATTTTGGACCACGCCACTGTACAATAAATTTATCGTGTTTTCTTTGTATGATAAAAGTTTTTTGAGAATTGATTTTTGTTAATTTTGAAATTTAAAAATTCCTACTTAACCAGCACTTGGACGCTTTTGAATTTCCACTCTTTAATTATTAATTACAGTTGATGAACCTGTGAACTAAATATTGTGCACTAGAACTGCTTCAGATCATAAAAAAACTATATCAAATATAATACCTTGTCAAATTTAAAGTAAATTCAATTAAAAAACATGATAGTTTCAAAATCATAAATATAAAACAAATTATTACTTTTTTATGATTTTGGTATAATTTAATTTTTTAATTAATTTAATTTAATTATGTGGTTAATTACTAAATTAGTGTTTTGATTGCATGTGTACATAAATAAACAAATAAAATTAGCGTATTTAATACGCTACAAGTTTTAAAAATGGCGAAGGCGCCGGGATTATTAACAACTTTTCCCGTTTTCCTTCTCAATCAAGGTTTTAGCCTATAATCTGAAGCAATTTGTTGAAACATGGTGACGAAGTGCAACAAATGTAGCGGTGCTAGAAACAATGACAAAGACAAAAAAGTATGTGTGTAGTGAGTGGCAAAAGTAAGCTGAAAACTCACTTTGCTGCTCGTCTGAGCTTGGTCGCACGAGGCCGGGTCTGCATGGAGTGCGCGCTGTAGATCTAGCACCTATAAGCGACACAACGTCACACCAAAACAAATCAACAAATCAACAAGTGGGTGCAAAACAACTCACGAAAGTTTTTTTCTGTTCCATACATTTTTTAAAACTTTCGTTTCTATTCGGTAGTTTTTTCACCTGTGTAATAGTGTATGGTAATTGTTGCTGAGGATGTGGAGAATGTGCACAAAGTTTAATTATCTTTTAAAAATTAAACATTCAATTTTCATTGTCAATGAAGGCTTGGCATCAAAGTATTTATTTTGTTTAGTCAAGATAGAAAATTTTACTTTTTTATTTTTATTTTACAATTTGTGTCCTATGGATGGACATTCATGTAAATAAAAAACTTTAATAAATAATTAAATGACTTATTTTTGTAAGATTTAACATAATCTTTTGTGATATTTTTAAATAAAGTGATTTTTTTCTACGCGAACTAAAATTTTATTTGATTTAAAATAAAATCATTTTTTGGTACTATATACTGGGTAAACGAAATCCATTAATACTTTAATTTAAAAAAAAATGTTTTTAACTTTTTGTTGAGTTTAGATTAATATACGTTTTTGATGACATATTGTTTAATAATCAGGTAAAAATATTGCAAATTAAGTTTTAAACTTATTAAAGTAATACATTTTCTTATTAGATACTGAACTTCGTTCCACCTAAAATTCTTCAACACGGAATTGTTTTCACAGCCGCTCAAATCTGTCAAACTTACTTTGATAACTTTACTATTTAAACTAATTGAAACAATTGAGAACATTACTATTTAAACCAATTTAAACTAATTTCTCGCTAAAACTATTGAATGAATGAATTTGTGGTTATGTTTTTTCATTTAATCTGAAGTGAAGCTACGAACGTCATCTATACAAATTAATCCAAAGTTGTACGAATTTTGATTTTCCGGCAGTTCCTTTCGTTTTTTCCTAAAGTTTTTTTTATTTAAATTAGCCCTGTATTTAGGCGAACAAAACATAACAAAATTGTTTAAATCGGTTGAGCCATTTCCGAGTTTAATACTTATTTAATTTGAAGCGCAGCTAGGTACGCCATCTATTCAAATTAATCCAAAGTTGTACGAATTTCGATTTTTTCGATTGTCCGGCTGTTTCCTTCGAGTTGTTTATTTAAATCCCTGAGTCCTGAGTAAAAGGTTTAAAACAAAATTTTACAAAAAAAGTCTCTCCATATCTATAGAAAGGGTATAATGAATTTCATAATACCCTAAAACTATATTTTCAATTTAAAAGTTTAGTTAACAATTAATGAAATATCTGATACGCAAAAAACATTCTACAAAATTTATTTGTACAGGGTGATCCCCTATAATGTACTTTTTTTCTATATATCTATAGATATATGTATAAAAAAAATTGGAAAATTGATCAATATACAGGGAAAAACAAAAAGTTAATTTTTTTTCAAAGGATCATCCTATATAAGATTTTATTTTTCGATTCCTTGTAAAATTCTGAGCATAATTCATATAACAAACCATATACCTGAATTCAACCGTTTCTGAAAAATTCGCATTCGAAATGTCATCATTAAAAGTTAGAAATCAAGAAGCCTCAGTATCCCAAAATTTTTATTGAAAATAAATTACTATAGTGACATTATGTCAATATGTCTTGTTAAATAAGTAAAAATGGCGTATTTAGACAGAGAATGACAAACTATTTCAACTTATTATCTTAAAACAAATTTAATTATTTCAGAAACAGTTGAATTTAGGTATATGGTATGTTATATGAAATATACTTAGAATTTTACAAGGAATCTAAAAATAAATACAAATATAGGGTGATCCATTGAAAAAAAAATAAACTTTTTGTTTTTGCCTGTATACTGATCAATTTTCCAATTTTCTTTATGCGTACAAAAAAAAAGTATTTTAGGAATTATAGGGGATCACCCTGTACAATTAAACATTACAGCATATTTGCAAACATTTATAAAGAGTTTTAGTGAATGTAAAATCCCTATTAAAAATGCCCTATAGAACCCATATTGATCCAGATAAGGAAACTAATATGGATTTATATGGTTCTATATGTCCTATATGGAACGACCTGGTTTACACTTTGGAATCTATATGGTTTAATATGGAATTTCATTTTAAAATGTACAAGTTAGGGATTTTTATATGGATTTATCTGGTTTCTGTTTTATGTGTCATTCCATATAGGTTTCCCTATATGGTTGAATATGGAATTCCATTTTAAAATGTATATATATTTAAACGAAAATTGCATATTAAACCATATAGATTCCCCTATATGGTTAAATATGGATCTATATGGTAATTATTTTTTTCACACCCAAACCATATTGGGCCAGATAGAGCAATATGAACCTATATGGCAATCCATATAGAAATCACTTTTCTATATGGTTTTCCAGGTATGGAATTCTATCTGGTTCAATAGTGCAATGCCTGTTTCAAATTCCTATATTGAACCAGATAGAACCATATAGATTTTTATTTTGTGTTTCTATATGGCATTTTTAATAGGGATGATACTTTTGTAAGATCTGTGGTAAAATGTTATTTTAAAATTATTATTTTTTATATGACTAAACAAAATTTGGCCCTCTCTTTTTCTTTGTTTTTTGTGCTCTAAGGATGTGTGACATGAAGTAGGTAGCAAGTATAAACTTACCACATAACCTTTTGAACGTTGTATACGCAAATGCGTGTGTGTATATTCAAAACTTACCGCATCCTACAAACAACATTTTCATGCAAATTAACAATGAACTTTTTGAATACCTATTCTTATAAATGCTTATTAAAATTTTGTTAAGGTCAGTGTGTCTATTTTAATCATGTTTTAACATGACACAAAGTAAAACCAAACAAGCTTTATATAAACTTTTAAATTAATTGGATTAAAATGTAAAATAAACAATCGTTGGGTTATGCATTATTCTTGTAGCTTAAGCACCTTTTCAATAAAGTCTTCCTTAAAGGCATCACAAGAAAACATGCTGCAATAATGGTTGCAAAGAAAATAAACAATCCAAATTCAGTGGATTCTAATGATTTATTCAAGCAAACTTGGCTACGTTTTCCTGAATAAAGTTTTTGAATTACTGGATTGTTTAAATAGAGTCTATAAGCTTTGAGGCTAAGCTACTGCATATTTTAGAAGGAAATTAAAACAAAGATTATATAGAATATTTTATTTTAGCTTGGATATTTTAATCTTTGTTTTAAAAAAAGCAAATAACAAACAGCCATTTGAAGTATTATTCATTAAATTAAGTTCTACAAAATTAAAAATATAAAAGAAATGAGTTTTAAGGAAATATCCGCGGCAATAGCAGAGCTGAATACTTAACTATGTTTTTAAGAATAAAATATTGTGCTTTTGTAAGTCTAGGTGTTGTATTTAAAAATAAAAAATATATACTAAAATAATATGGGAAACTTTTACTCAAAAAATAATCTAAAATATATATAAAAACGCTTTAGAATTTCGTTTTCAGATCCAATAAAATTATTTAATTTTCAGATTAATGCGTGATTGTAATGTGCTCGAATAAAAATTTCCCATTAAAATGACAAGTGAGAAATAATTGGAAAATTATGTAGAATAAAAAAGATGGAGTAAATGGTAATGCATCAGTGCTTTTACAAATAATTGGTGCTGTAATTCCATTAATTACCTAAATGGCTAAATATAAACCTACAGGATGTCATTTAAAAAGTCATTGATTATTATATTTTGCTTATTATTTACTTAATATTTATTTAATTTTATCCAAATTATATAAATGAAGGAGTAAGAAGTAAAAGGGTATAAGTGCATTTTAACATACAAATAATTAAGTGCAGAATTGGGTAGTTTAGAATCCATTTTTTTTATTTTCTCGTAACGTGGAAATTGTACGAGTATCCAGCAAAAACTTTAGTTAATAACTTGCTTCTCTTTTTTGCACTTGTGTACCCTTTTTCTTCTTACCCCTTCAAATATTAGTTTGATACAAATAAATAAATATTGTCCATAGCTGTTTTTTTTATTCAAAAAGTCCTGTTGTGCTAATTTTTAGCGAGGCTTCCTAAAACATGGCAAAATGACAATTCTTATTAGCTTAGAATTTAAATGTGATTTTTAAAATCACGTATTCAAATTAATTTTATTTATTTAAAACATTATTCCTGATATTTTTCTCTGCTTCTATTCAAACCCCTAAAACACCAAAAATCTGTAACCGTTTTTAAGAAAATTACATTTTTTATTGTTGTTTTGGGATTTTAAGATGTATAAAAAATCATTAAGGATACATTTTTCTGGGAAATCCGAATAGTATTAAAGAACTAATGTCATAAGACGTCATTTTTTCGAACGAAAACAATTTACATGTAACGGAAGAGTGCGAGAAAATGTCATGGCATGAGTCCTTTATACTATTTTTTTTATTTGGCAAGAATTATAAATTATAGTTGCTTATTATGGTATACAAATAGAAAAATATTTTTCCCTTGTTCATAATATAGTAAAATACCAATAATCACTCTTACAATAACATCCTATAAGTGTATTAGACTGGGCCACAAAAATCGACTATTTTTTTTTTTGTAAAGTATATCAAAAATATTGTTTGGGGTGACAAAAAAAATTATGGTGAAAGTTTGAGTCCATAATATTAATATTAATATCATCGCAAATTTTAGATTTTTCCTGAGCGAGTTTTTGCCCAAACCATTGAGTTTAACAAAATTGACTTAAGAATATTTTTTGAAGAAAATTGAATGTTCTACAGTAAAGGTTTGATTGGAATTTCCCGTCAGATGAACCGTTTTCTAACAATCATGCCTTAAAAATTGATCTTTTAACTTTGAAATTTTGTAATTCATGTAAAAATCAGTACCCGAAAAAAAAAACCGATAGATTGTTATGGTAAATCAAATACTTTACAAAAAAAGTCTCCTAACAAGAGGTATTCAAGGTTAAATTTGAAGTCAAAATGAAATTCTTGTTTTTTCCGCTCTAGATTTTATTTTGGGTCAGTTAAAAACTTGGATTCTTTTATAGATGATAATCTTTATGGTATTGATAAAATTAGGTACTGAAAATTAAAAAAAAAATAACACATTAGAGTTTTTCCGCTTTAAGAAGCAATTTTCTTTAAAAAATATTATTTTCATTGTTACCTATTTAATCGTTTAAATAATAAAAATCATGTTGTTTTTTCATTGGAAATTGTTAATTAGTTATATAATACACATTTATAAAGAAAAAAATCCAATTATCACCCATAAAAAAATAAATCTACAGAGGAAAAAACAAGAATTTCGTTTTGACTTCAACTTTAACCTTTAATAACTTTTGATTGAGTGAATTTAGCCAAAAATGTTAAGAGGCTTTTTTTGTAAATCATTTGATTTCCCATAAGACTATTCATCGGTTTTTTCTGGGTAATGATTTTTACATGAATTACAAAATTCCAAAGTTAAAAGATCAATTTTTAAGGCATGCTTTTAAGGAAACGGTTCATTTTAACCTTTTTTGTAGGGCATTTAATTTTCTTAAAAAATATTTCTGAGTCAATTTTGTTAAACTCAATTGTTTGGGAGTTCTGAGACAAAACCTTGCTGAGAAAAAAAAATTTAAAATTGCGATGATAGACCTCTTAATATTAATATTATGGACTCATCCTTTCACAATATTTTTTCGATATACTTTTCAAAAAAAAAAATAGTTGATTTTTTTGGCCCAGTCTAAGGTATATACATTATAGGGGCATTACAACTTCTTAGTAGGTATAATATCCCATAACTAAAACGTATGAAACTGGTAAACTACTAAGTGCGTCGCGACGCGTCGAGGCAATACATAACATAATCTGTAAACGAAATAAATAAAAATTAAACTCGAATCTCACCTTTCTCGCGTTTGCAGTCTTCATCTCCGTCTGCAGCGCGATGTTGCTGAAGGGAACCTCCATGGAGTACTTGATCGAGTGCAGCAGCTGCACCACCACGTTGGAGACGTTCTTGAAGCTGAGCTTCCTGCGCTGCGCGGCGCCCAACGCCGACCGCACCTGAAGCGTGTTGAACAACAGTGGCTGAAAACGTGAATGCGCCGGGCAGGGGACACCAGGTTAGTCACAGGGGGTTAGCAGGTTACAAAATGCGGTCTACAACTACTGTGCGTGCATGTGATACTGTGCAGTGGCGCGGGATGTGGTTTTTGTTCAACGATTTATAAGGATTTTGAAATTTTTGAAGACATGTCGAAATAACTTGTATTTTAAGCACAAGGTATTAATAATAGTACTAAATTACTTACACAAATATTTACATTTGTAGTTGGTAATACTTATTATTAAACACTTATTTACATTGGTAAGAGGTTTCCATAACACTATTGATAATTTTAATTTTGTTAAATATAAAATAGGTCCTTATAAAAAGTTTACGCAATTTAACAATGCGTATTTTACACAATGGAAAATGTCTATTTTTACTCTGTTAGCTGAATTATAGCGAAATTTATAATTACACACTGTTTATTTTTTTATCAGTATTTAATCAAGGTCAAATTAAAATAACTTTTTATTGTATAATGGTCGAAAAATCGTTTACTAAAAAATATTAAAAAAGGTTTCCTCTCGGGTGCTTTCCCTCCTTTTTTTACGTTTTGAATAGTTTTATCTTGTTTCCTATTGGTCGGGTGAAAAAAGTGTTAAAATAAAAAACGTAGAGCTTTAAATGTAAAAAATATCTTTTTAAAGGCATAACTTTATGTATTAAGTTCCTAAAAAGATTAAGGGCGCTAAAGTAAACATTTTTTTTCGTATTTTGATATTTTTGGGATTACAACTTTTATACACGGTGTGTCTGAACGAAGTTACCCTTGGGTGACTTAAAAATGATATTTACCAAAATCCTAGCTCCTCTTTTCGAAATTTTCGAAAATTCATGATTTATCTCAAAGTCTACCTTTGACAGAGTACACATTTGTACAACCGATTTTTATAAAATTAGAGTATATTATTGAGGAGATTTAGAGAATACTTTTTAATACTGTTCACATCATTTGATATATAGAGGGTTAGCCAAAAATCGCTTATTTTTAATAAAGCAAAAGCGTAAATTCATGGTTTTGGCATAACACGCAAAAAAGATTTATCCCCAATTTTGTTTAGATATTTCTACGTTTATCAGGTTACAAAATGCTATTCTTAAAATTAAATAAAAATTCATGTTATTTTGTATCACCTGGAAGATTTTCTAAAGTTCCTTAATTATGATGGTTTGGGTACCTGGTGTGAACAGGCAGCTGAGTCAGCTCATCAAGAGTTTGTTAAATATTGGAATAAATATAAAATAAATTCATTGGACAACACTGCCTATGGCAAAAATTTAAAAAAAAGCTGTGGTTAATTTTTCTTCGACCAATTTGTAATAGATTTCTTCAAAACAATGGTAATTTCTTATTATTTTTCAATTTTGGAAATATGTTGGTAATTTGTTGGAAATAAATTAATTTAAAATTAAGTTTGTAGTTTTAAATAAAGTTTAAGTTGTAAGAAGTCACCAAAAACAAAAGCCTAAATTAAACAATATTTTAAATATTCTCTAAACGTTATTTTATTTAATTATATTCAAAATCAATTTTCCTTATAAAGGGTTAATAAGAATCGCATTTTGTAGCCTGATAAACATAAAAATATCTAAAAAAATGGGTATATATCTTTTTTGCGTGTTATGCCAAAATCATGAATTTACGCTTTTGCTTTATTAAAAGAAGCGATTTTTGGCTAACTCTGTATATATCAAATGATGTGCGCAGTATAACACCGTGTATATTTAGCTTTTTTTATAAAAAAACATTCTTACTATTCCTGGAACCATCATTACCACATTTCTGGGAAACTATAGATAAAACGATTCATTTTTTTCTTTTATAAAAGGGGAAAAATGCCCAAGCCACCACAGGTAAATTTGAAATTTTACCTTTTAGACCACCATTGACTGTACTAAAATCCCTACTGACCAATTTAAAAAGTTAAAAATTGCGAATGGAAGTTTTTTGTATTTTATTTTTTTCCTTGACCAATGACTGAATGAAAAGTGAATTTTGCAAGTAATGCAGAATTAAAATGAATTTGCTATTAAAAATAAAATACATTCTGTTTCAATTTTTTGTATTTGTTTAAAATTTATGGGATTTGTCGTTTAAAACAACTTTTATTTAATATTTTTTGTTCGACGTATTTATAATATTTATTTAAAGTTAAATTTGAAAAATCATTTTTTAATTTTAAACAAAAAAGTTATTTAGAAAAATACAAAAAAAATAACATTCAATTAATCATTTTCATTTTGCTGTGCAATAAAAATATGTACTAATTTCTAGTTTCGCTCTATCTAAAAAGTTTTATTATCTTTAAATCGTATTGTTATTTTAGCACAGCTCTAAAACCATTAAGGGTCCAATTATTGTTTTATAGCCTAAAATAAAATTCCCAATATCGTTAGCGGGAGAATTATAATCGGCTTTGTAATCTTTTATACTTTATTTTCCGAATATTCCTAGCGAAATTCTAGTTACACTTCGGTCAGAATTAGTCTTGTACAAAACAGTAATTGGACTTCAAACACGTTGCAAACATTGCGCGAAAGTTTCCGCTGAATTTTCAATAAACTAAATTTAATGCTGGGGATTTAAAGTTGAAGTTTTCCCCTTCGAAATTTATTGTCAGTGAGTTTAAACTATTTGTGGGCAGTTAAAAATGAACATGGAAATCACCTTCCTACTTGTAATGTAAAGATTAAAGAATTTAAATGAATGATTGTTCGTGATGCAAAACTTTTTGCAATAAAGGCAAACAATGTGTTTTTATTTAGTTTAATACTATTTACACAGTTCACCTTATAAAAATGTTTTTAACGGATAGCATAATATATTATATTTGGACAAATAAATTTATGTGTCTTTATAAATAGATTCAATAAAAATGAGTATTTTTTTCAGGGTAAAAAAAAATTGCGTAATACTCTAAACGAATTACTTTATTTACAAATAAAAAACGCTCCCAGTTCATATTTATATTTTATAAAACCACATTTACACATTTATAACCAAAATGGTTTTGGGACATTTAAGATTACAGATAATTAAGATTATCATTATCAACATAAACTTCACATAGAATTCATTTGACTGCGTCTGGAAAATTATTTCAATGAATCTGTGTGCTCATGCGAACAATCCTTGTTTTCTTTAATTTGACATCCACATATCCATAATTTTTCCCCTATGTGAACCTACAATTTTACTGATCTTATACATAAAAGGTTATATTAACAATAGTTTCCACAGACAGATTTATTAATACAAAAGTAAGTTTTAGCATAGTATGTGTTATGTTCCCCTGTATAAATCAGTGGCAAATATTAGAAGTAAGTTAATTCTATTCTATGCGAAGCGAAGGCGGTTTTTTGTATTAAAATTAACATAATTAGAGCAAAGTTTTAATAGAATATAAAAGACATTTAATTTCTCTGTCACTTAAAATAAATTAAATAAAATTTTCTTATAATGTCATATAGTATGTTTATCAACAATGGTAGTGGCTAATGCTAGTAATAAAAAATACTTATTCATTATTGGTAGGTACCTATATGTATAAATACCCCTTTATTTTAAAATATATCATTTTTTCATAAAATTGCTATTTGGTGTAAAGAAATTAACTTTTTTAAAAGGTGAATACATATGTATGCCTTTAATGAATAAATTTGAATCCGAAAATCAAAGTAATAACTTGCAAATTACAATGTAACAAAAGTTTTATACATCGCATCAACGAAACGTTTAATTGAAATTTCAATTGAAATTTCCATCATGCATTAAATCGAGGAAAAAGTTGCAGAAAAGCATAGAGTGGCAAACATGAGGTTACAATGAAATTCAATAGAGGTAGGTTCAGTGAAAGCACAGATAGCAAGGTAAACATAAAGGAAGGAATAAAAAAAATCGTGTTTCCACTATCTGACGAATAAGTGCGATTTTCATTCTCATGAAGTTTTAAAATAACAGCTCATTGCACTAAAAAATTTAAATGTAGTTGGTTTTAACTTTTAATTAGGTTTATTCAGTCAAAATGTGGAAAACAAAATTTAATAACAAAATAAAAATATAGGGATTCTTACAAATAAATATTTAAGAATCAGAGTAATAAATAAGTTAAGATTTTAAATTATAAAAAATCAAAGTAAGAATTAAGAAAATTTTGAAAAATGGTATATTTTTTATTATAAAATGAAATTGTTACCTTTCTTCTCCTGGCTGGTGGCACAATGAAGTAAGTGGTAACGCAATGATCTCTTAGGTATTGATTTCTGGACGCACCATTACCAGGTTCTACTTCGTATTCACCGCCTAGGTAGTCCAGGGTTGCCTGAGTTATGTGAACTCTCCTTTAAAAAAATAAATATTCATTGGTTTTGTATAAACTGTTATAAAAATCAAAATGAGTTTGTAGTTTGTTAATTTTATTTTGGAAAATTTTAACATAATTTTTTGTAGAAAAACAGGGTTTGTAACTATTTTAACAAAGGAAAATATTTTGCCGAAAGTTTTGTAAAGGTAATATGCAATTTTGTAAGCATTTTGTTAATTTCAAAGGTTACAGATTATTTTGTAAATGTTTAACAAATTATTTCGTTGAAAAAGTACACGTGATTTTAGGCAGTCAATCAAAACATTTCCCACTAACAATAAGTATCAACAAGTTCAACTGACTTCAGCGTGTGCAACTTACTCTGCTTACTTTGTTTTAACTATGGTTTCGCGTAAAAATCGAACAAATTTTGGACATTTGTTTGCAAGTGATGCCAGAATTGAATATATTTTTGTTACCTTGTTTGTACATCTAAATGGTACTTTTTTTTCAAAAAAAAAATTTCATCCATTGACCCCTGTGGTTTTCAGGCCTTAAGTCACTCTACTGTGTTAAAAATAGATAAATTTCGATATTTTGTAATAACATTTTTATTTAAAAACGTATCGATTTGAAATTAAGATAAAATGTAGACCTTATTAGTGGCAATAAATCCACGTATTATTTTTTTTTGGTTTTAATATACAGGGGGCACGGTGGACAATTTAATTTAAAATTTTACCATTTTTTAAGGGTTAAAAAGTCGAAGAAGCAACGTTGTTTTATAATTTTGAGTATATCACGTTAAAGTACTGATAATTAACTATTATTTGATATATAAACTTCTAAATGCAAATTATGTTTCTACGAGAGACACCATTTTTAAGTTAAGCCTTCAAAGAGCGCAATACTAACGTGTTTTACAAATTATAAATTCTTTTAACTAGTTTTATAAGATAATGTATTATATATTACATACAATATTTTATATATAACATACAATTCTTACATATTTATTTTAAAAAATCGCCATAGATGGAGCTAAAATTAGTTTTATTTATAAATTTTAAATTTTTTTAAGTTTACTAATTTTGATCATAGTAGGCATCACAGACTTATCTCTATGGTAACCTACCATTGGAAGCATGAAAGATAATTTAACAGTTCAGTTTATAAGTTGCAAATGACTGATTGCGTTTCAATTTATAAGTGTACTATAAACTTAAAATATTAATTTATTAAAATGAATACACTAAATAATAATTATAGAGAGTATCAGCAAGTTAGAAATTATAACCTACTTTAATTTTATTTTTTGCTCCACAACCAAGCTTCAATTTATGTTTTACTCGATAAACAAGCTTCAATTTTAATTCCTAACTGAGGAAAGTAATATTTACCCAATAAATAAATTAGAATAAAGACTTTTTATGTTGCAATCGGCTATTTAGATATACCTACCTATATTTTTATTCATTTGTTTTTCGATTTTTTGTAATTAGTTATTTTGCATTTTTTTATATTTAATATAATGCTATACATGGTGTTTTTGGAGAAACGCAAACGGTATGGATTTGAAATTTTAATAGAATATACAATTTGATTTAGACTATACATAAAGTCAATAGTTTTCAAGATATTAATTTTTTTCGTTAAAATGCACATTAATCAAAATAGCCTTTAATTTGTTTGTTGACATGGGGTTGGAATTTTTGGAATATTAAAACATTGTTTAGTTTTTTAAAGGTTTTTCAACAAATACCTTGAGAAAAACCACTTGAAATTAGGCAAACTTCAAACAATAACAACGTTTTTATTATAAATGTAAAACCCTGTATGTTTTAACATAATCAAATAGAACATTAAAGAATCTTTCGATTGGTATTATAGTAACTCTTTCCTAAAGTTAAAATTTCAGAGACATTTAACAATTTCTAATATTTTCAATACTATTTTGTATCAACAAACCTCTGAAATTCTACATGTGGTTTAATGTAACAGTATCACCACCAAATCTGTCATTGTTTAAAATTAATTAAAATATTTGATTAAAAAATAATAATAACTCAAAAAATATTGACTTTAGGTATACGATATGGTATAGCCATTTTACTCAGAATTAAATAATGTAAAAATATATGAGGTATTCCGGTAAAACAGGAAGTATTATTTTGTTTAAAATAATTTAGGAAAAGAGTCTAAAGCGAATACTTTACGCTATTAAAATTTTAAATCGATGTCTTTCGCGATTCCCTAGAAACTTCCAACGGACTAAGTACGTGAAACACCCTGTATATTAAACGTCATTTATGTGTTATGCTTTACTTAATTATTAATAAAAGATAAAACAATATTTGTATAAAAATGACAAAATGTACTAAACTAAGCATTTATGAATACTGCTACTGCTAATTCAAAACTGATCCTGGCCACAGAAACATCATTTGCATAAAAAAGTTAATATATCAAATAATAGTCAAATATTAATACTTTCACGTGCTATACTCAAATTTATAAAACAAAGTTGCTTCTTCGATTATTTACCCTTTAAAAATTGTCAAATTTTAAACTAAATTATCACCAGCGCCCCCTGTACGTTATAATCTAAACAAAATTTTTTCATGGATTAATTGTCATTAGTAAGATCTACATTTTGTCCAAATTTCAAATCGATACGTTTTGAAATAAAAAAGTTATTTAAAAAAAATGAAATTTCTTAATTTTTAACACAGCGAAGAAAAAAATTAAAATAAAAACAAAGTTGTCAATGGACGAGATTTTTTTTTTGAAAAAAGTACTGCATTAAGATGTAGAAATAAGGTAAAAAAGTTTCAATCGATTTCTTGAACCCTTGCAAATCGACCGTTCGATCCTTTCGCGAAACCGTAGTTAATTCGTAACGTGTTCGTAACAACTGTCCAGAGTGTTTATAATATATTACCAGAAATCTGTTATTATTGTTATTCGGATTCCTTATACCTATTTAACGAGTGTGCGAAATATCCAAAAAATGATGCCATCACTGGTTTTCAAACTTAAATTAGGGGATACAGTGAAGTTGGTTAAAGTTACGAAATACATCAGTAAGTGTTGTGGTAGTAGGTACTGATAATTCTATTGTACTAAATTTCTTTATAATTTTATGATTTCAGAATGGTGTATTATTTAATTGTGTGCATTTATTTTTGTGTTCATTTATGTAGGTAGGTATGTGTTAATTTTTTTGTTTAGGAAATTAATTAGTAAAGCAACATTTCTTATAAAAATTCTATTCATTTAAGTTCGCAATTTCCAACAAATACTTCTGTAAAAAGGTTTGTAAAAATAAGGTCCTTTTTGAAAATTGCAGGAATTATGGTTGAATTTAGTGTTGGGATCGCTCGAGTGAAAAACCGCTCGAGTACTTGATTATTGAAATAACCGACATCACTCGATTATTGAAACGACTACTCGAGTTATAAATTCAAGCGAAAATCTTCGCTTAAAATCTACCGAGCACCGAATTAGGTATATTTCTGTAATTTATATTTTATAATAAAATTTTTATTTGGTTGAAATTGCACTTTAGTTTAAAAAGTTAGATTTTTTGTCAATTATGTTTACAATTATTAAAAAGTAAATCGGCGATATCCATCGCTTGTCTCTTGTTTTATTAACGAGCCGCGAATCACATGACACCTAAACGTAAGTGAAAAATTGCTCGGATTATTGCGAGTGATGCAAGCTGCAAGCGATCTACCCGAGTATGAATGCATTCATTAATTGAATTGAAATTTCGAGTGATAAATCGCTCGGGCGATCGCTCGATTATTGAAATCGCTCGAGTATCGAGTACTCGATTATTAAAAATTATCGGTTTTTCCCAACACTAGTTGAATTATTGAAGACGGATTTTGTTATTAAATCTACAAAATGTTTGTTATAATTACAAACTACTAATCCAATTAGTTAACAGATTACTGTTGGTTGTAAACTCAACATAAAGTTATGTAAACCTGAATTAACATAAAATCTAGTTAATATTTGGTTAAAATTAACAAATATTTTTTACTGTGTAGTTCTGCAGAACAGGGCCACCTAGAGGGGGGCAAAAGGGGCACATTGCCCCAGGCCCCCAACGTCAGGGGGGCCTAGATTTAAAAATAATTCAAAAATTGAAAACAATGAATATGTTGATTTACTTTTTATCAATAATGCATTAGTCTAAAAACATTTCTATGAAACCCACAATAACTTGATAAATGTAACTGAACAAATATTAGAAATATTCCCCAACACCAAAACAAAACACAAAGTGCTTAAAGAACTTTTCGCCAATGATGTTGGCATCTTCAAAAGCGAAGTGTAACTAGACTTTAAGCACTTTTGTTTTGGTGTTGGGTAATATTTCTAATATTTATTTAACATATCACAAAGTTGTCCTCTTTCAAGTAAATGTAACTGAGTTGAAAATAGAAATTTTCCTCCGAAAGGAAAAATAATTAAGTGGGATTTTTAAGTTACCCGGACAGATATGTTTTTGTGTGATATAAGAGGTGCGTGGTTGGCAGTACTGCATCGTTTCGTCTGCTCGTCACTGACGAGTCGCAGTCGGGTTTTGTTCTTGGAGACGGCTGGTCGTTTGCGACCCTGTAGGGACAAAATTGGAATCCCAGCACAAAAATACGCTGGTTTTTGTCAAATATACAAAATCTACAATAGATTAAGTTAAGGATTTCCACGACGGATGGGTGAAATATTTAAAGAAATAACAGTGCATGGTTGGAACTAAAATCAACACCGAAAATTTATTATATTATTTATTATCTCTAATTAAATGGGAGACAAAATGAATTTTAAGTGAATTGTAACAATATTTATGAATTGGACGAAAACAGAAAAAAAGTATAAAAGTGTCACTGACAGTGATAAAAAAAATTAATATTGAAAAAGAAGGGAGAGGCTATAGGAACTCCTAGACTCGCCCTCCCAGAAAAAAAGTTTAAGCAGACCAAATCCCGGAAGGAAAAAGCCAAAAAAGGAGAAGAAGAAGAAGAAGTCGCAGTCGACCAACCCTTTAAAACTTTATGTACTGCAATTTTAAAATTAAGAATATGGTACCTTTATAAATTAAATCAAGCTTGAAGGTCATAAAAAGAAATTGCTAAACAGTTTCCTTTTATAGGCAATTATTTTCATTAATTTCATATATTTTTATTTATTAGTAAAGCAGGGATTTTGCTTGACGTTTAAATTGCAAGGAAATATATGTTAATTAAACAAATAAATAAATAGCATTTTTTAATCATTTTTTTATCGTTTTATGCCTTTTTTTCAAAAAATTACCTGCTTTTTAAGCGCTTATTTCACTTTTTCAATTCGGGCTCTATTTATTACTACTGTTTACGGGTACTATAAATTTTTTGTGTGAAAAAAGTTACCCTTCCTTCCCCCAAACATTTAGATTCTAGAATTAAATTTGCTCCAGGCCCCCTATACCCTCTCGGCGGCCCTGCTGCAGAAGCACTCTTATCAACATTACTTACCCTGGTTCCCCGCCAGCCTCCATATTATTGGCCAACGTCACATCGTTGGACCAAACGTCGTACTGCCACTTCCTCAATCCTAGCACGCCACACAGCACTCGCCCCGAATGGATGCCCACGCGCATGTTCAACTGCACATCAGTTGCCTCGACGACGCTGGCGATAGCGTCGATCATGTCGAGACCCATCTCGACGCAGCAATTTGCGTGCTCTGATCGCGCTTCCGGCAGCCCCGACACGCAATAGTAGCAGTCGCCCAGGATTTTAATGCGCAGACAGTGGTTGTCCTGAAAAATAAGAAAGTTTTTTGGATTAACGCCAAATTAAACAAAATTGTTACGTTTAAGATACGAAAAAAGCTACAGAAATGTTCACGATACTACGTGACGAAAAATAGAGTTTACTGCATCCAATCATAACGTTTTCATAATTAAAATAGCTGCACAAGTTTTGTTATGCTTTGGGTATCAGTAAGTTAACGAAAAAAATAGAGAAGCTTTGTCACAGAAACGTGGCAAGTTTTTTTTATATAATAATCATTGTAAAGAGAAAAAGCAGTCAAAATTATAACGAATACAAGTACATGTTAAAAAAATAAAACCTCACTTAACGCACTTGTTACGATTTCGTAATTAAAATAGTTGCAAAAATCAAAACACATCGAAAGTAAATTTGGCAAAAGTTGTGTGTGGTTTTTAAATTTTATATACACGCCTCATAATATGTACTATGAATACTTCGCGGTTTAACATTATTTTCATGTTTTTTTTTATCACCGAATGCGACTCTACCAGAATTTCGGCTCTAGATTTTGTTGTCTGCGATGCTATAGTTTAAATATTTATTTATACATATACATGATTAATTATTAAAAACGCCCCAAGTCATAGCTCCATTTTTTTTAAGATATGACAGTACTTAAGTAGTAAGAATTCTTGAAACAAAGTTGCACAGTTTCTTGTCATTTATAAATATAGTTTATATTTTATTTTTCATTTTATTTTTTGCGTGTCAGATTTGTTTGTTAGTAGGTTTACAATTATAATGTTTTAGTATAGTAGGTTTTAATAGGTATACCATTATAATGCAGGGTGTGCCTGAACGAAGTTTAAGTCACATAAAAATGCCGCCAAAAACTGATTGCAGTTTCTTGTTCGGGACCCTTCGGTGACTTAAAAATGATATTTACCAAAATCCTAGCTGCTCCTTTTTTCGAAATTTTTTGAAAATTCATGATTTTTTTTTAAATTTTTGTTTATCTTAAAGTCTACCTTTGACAGAGTACACATTTGTACACCGATTTTTATAATATTGGAGTATATTGTTAAGGAGATTTGGAGAATACTTTTTAATACTGTGCACATCATTTAATATATACAGGTTTAGCCAAAAATCGCTTCTTTTAATAAAGCAAAAGCGTAAATTCATGATTTTGTCATAACACGCAAAAAAGATATACCAACCCATGTTTTTTTTTTAGATATTATTATGTTTATCAGGCTACAAAATAGGATTCTTATTAAGACTTATTGAAAAATTGATTTTAAATAAAATTAAATAAAATAAATTTTTTTGGAGATAAATGTTTTTTCAAAAATTTAAAAAAAAATTTAGAATTTTCAAAAAATTTCGAAAAGAGGAGCAGCTAGGATTTTAGTAAATATCATTTTAAAGTTACCAAAGGATCCCGAACAAGAAACTGCAATACATAAAAATCGGTGTACAAATGTGTACTCTAGCAATGGTAGACTTTGCGATAAACAAATAATTATAAAAAAATTAATTTTTAACAAATTTAAAAAAAGCAGTTAGAATTTTGGTAAATATCGTTTTTAAATCTCCAAAGAGTGCCTATCAAAAAACTTTAATCAGTTTTTCCTTCAAAATTGAAAATTACTAAGAGCCTAAATTAAACAACATTTTAAATATTCTCTACACGGAGAGAAAAGTTTTGCTAAAACAACTATCCAAAGTATTGTTAAATTACGTATCGTGAATTTAGTCAACTGTTTTATTAAACTGAGGATTTGTATGGCTAAATCAGCTGAATGGATAGTTATTTTGGCAAAATTTTTCTCTCCGTGTAAGCGTTATTTTATTTAATTTTATTAAAAATCTATTTTTTTATAAAAGGTTAATAAGAATGCCATTTTGTAACCTGATCAGTAGCGTAACTAGGGGGGGCGGGGGGGGGGGGGCGGTCCGCCCCGGGCGGCACTTCTTGGGGCGGCAAAAATCGTGAGAGAAAATGCGAAAAAAACTGGAAGACAGAATATAAAAATAAAAAAAATATTTGATAATTAAATATTCTCTTTCGAAATAATATAATTCAAATTCCAATAGATTTGAGATTTATACAATTACTCCCAAAATATTCCAAATCAAATAAAGCTAGCAAAAATAGAAACAAGACCGGTATTCTAAATATTTAAACATTTTTATTTATTTTTTACTCAGGTTTAAGTTTTTTTTGTAGGTACTTTTACATAAGGTTGAGAATTTATCTATTTGTTTTTTTCATATAAATTATGTTAAAGCACATTTTATTTGTTGTTTTTCTTTACCTAGGTCTAAGAATTTTTGTTTGTTTTTAATTCTTAAAATATTACAATTTAATGTTATATATATATGTTATATATATAATTATATATTTTTAATTTTGCGTACGGTCCTCAAAACTGACTCCTAACCTAACCTCTCTTCCCCCCCAAAAAAAAAACATGAGGGCGACAGCCACTGCTGCCCCGGGCGGCACTTTTTCTAGTTACGCCGCTTACCTGATAAACGTAGAAATGTCTAAAAAAAAATGGGGACAAATCTTTTTTGCGTGTTATGCCAAAATCATGAAATTACGCTTTTGCTTTATCAAAAATAAGCGCTTTTTGGCTCACCCTGTATATATCAAATGATGTGAACAGTATTAAAAAGTATTCTTTAAGTCTCCTCAATAATATACTCTAATTTTATAAAAATCGGTGTACAAATGTGTACAAAGGTAGACTTTGAAATAAAAAAAAATTAAAAAAAAATCATGAATTTTCAAAAAAGTTCGAAAAAAGGAGCAGCTAGGATTTTGATAAATATCATTTTTAAGTAACCAAAGGGTCCCGAACAAGAAACTGCAATCAGTTTTTGGCGGCATTTTTATGTGACTTAAACTTCGTTTAGACACACCGTGAATGGTTGAGACTGGCCTCCATGATTTTTTTCAATTTCAATCTCATAATACCAGAACGCCCGTCAATGAAAATTTTAAACTGATATAATTCCGGTTTACTCTTTAGAAGATTTAAACATTTAGGAATAACCAGGGTCGGATTAAGGCAAAAAGGGGCCCTGGGGCTAAATATTCGTACATTGTGATGCTAAGAAGCTAACATTAAGAATAAACACGGAAGAGTTTCAATACTCGATAAAATGTTCAAATGTCGCACCCGCTACATTTTGAGAAAATTTTAGAGAATAAAGTATATAATATTTGTGCATTTAAAATACGTGCTTGTTTAAGGTTTCTATTCAAGTTTTACACAAAAAATTATTACTATATGCTTTCATCCAAAATTTTACAGTATCAACTTTAGAAGCCAACTTGGTCGCATTTGTCGATTTTTTAAGGTCGCGCCCGTTACGCTATTCATGACGTTATAAAAGGTTTTCTATACAAATTTTTATTGACATTTTGTTTGAGTTAAATACCTAATTTTGTATACTATTTTTTATATTAACGTATCTTGATATATATGAACAATAGGGTGTCCGTTATTTACCAACTTGGTTTTTTTGTTCGCAGCGCCCCCTAAATTTTTAGTTTATGACCTTTAAGGAATTATAAAAAAAATATAACAAAAAATATTCATTTTAAACCGTGCCACAAAGACGATACATTTTCCGTTTAAATAGCATGGGGTTTCGGCAAGTTTTACATTTATTTTTTTTTCTCTGAAGCAAGTTAATATACAGCAAAAAGTGATATATATTTTTATAGGAAAATGAACGCTGTACAAAAAAGCTCTCTTAAGATTTTTTGATAAATTCACTGGTTTAAAAGTTATTTAAGGTTAAAATTGAACTTATAGTAATTTTTAGATTTTTTTACTTTGACTGCAAAATTATCATTATTTTTATGAAAATAAATTGTTAATGTTTAAAAATATGTGATTTTATTGTATTATTGAAAAAGTAAAAATGATTGAAAAGAGATAAGTAAAAATTATGGACAAGGGATTCCGATAAATTAAAAATTGTTTATTACATTAAAAGAATCTGGTACTAGTTTTACTCAAACGTAGAACGATTACTTTTTTACATAATCTTTTTATTTCTGTGAAATTTTACAAAAAGCCATTTCAGTTACGAGTTTTATTAGGCACGAGCGAAGCTTATTAAAAACGAGTGTCTAGATAACTTTATAAAGCGATTAATTAAATATTCTGCAAGCATTTCTCTTATCACCGCTTTTGTTTAATTTCGTTCGGATCTCATGCCAGCATCGACAGACGCGTTTCGTTCTTGTGGAACTCATCAGTGCCGAGTTGCTATAGGCTCGAGACCCGAACGAAAACTTTAGTTCCTTTCTTTATATTGGAAAGGAATAGTTCAAAAGCGGCGAGAAGAGAATTTGCTTGCACAATGGTGCCATCTATCGTTTTTCAACGCGGTCTTCTATATGTCATGACATTATCTGTACGGGACATATAGCGTGCTTTACGCCATCTATGACCTGAAAGATGTATTTATAAAGCGAGTTGCATACTAAGTATACTTTATCTACGACGAACACAAGGATGAATTTAAAGCCAATTATATTTGATAAACATTTGACATCTGTCAAATGTCAATGGAATTAACCTTACTTTTCTCTAATGTATAATAAATCTAATTTCAGCCCGTGACTAAAATTCCCAAAAGCCACTACTTATTGCCAACTTCAGCCCGTGACTAACGCCATAAAGTCACAGCTCGTCAATGTAGAAGTAGATAAATACATTTAACTTATTTGAAGGATAATTGGTGTAGCGGAAATGTCTGCATCTCATACTCAAGACAACGTATACGTAACTACGAATTTTATGTTGTCGTAAAAATAATTCAATTCAAATAGTAAATATCAAGACACAAATTACCTGCAATTTGGGTTCCAACATTCCTTTGATAGGATGAAATCATAGGTAAACTTCTTTCTACCACATAATTGAATAATAAATACAATTTTTAGATTAAACGCGCAAGAACCCATGATATAATTAAAGTATTACTTTTTATTTATCCAGAAATTTTTTATTTGCTTGATGGGCGTTCATTGCTGACGTCAGAACAACCAGATTGTTGAGGTGGGGACACGGCATCTTATTGAAATGTATCCTTAAAGAGCAATTTTAATAAGGTAATAGAGCTTTTTCTTAATACAATTGTTCACAAAAATAAAGGCTAAAAAGTGAGTTTCTGTTTTATATAACTCAAATATTCACAAAAGTAAGATATGAAATAGAAACTCACTTATGAAGAATTTAATTATTTTAAGAAAAACGGGTTTTCAAAAACTCCTACAAGCGCCGTATTATAATTGCTTTGTAAGGATACATTTGAGTAAGATGCTGTATCCCAACCACAACAATCAGGCTGTCCTGACGAAACAAAAATGTGTGCCCGCTTTTTAAATAGCGAGCATTATTCACAGAATGTTAACTTCTTGTTTATCTTTATATAATTTATTTTTTGTTTTTAATAAATTATTTAATAGTACCCTACATTTTGTATTAATTTAATACCCTAGTAGGTAAATGTAAAGCAGCAAGTAAGTCACATTCCATAACGTATTTAAATACATAAACATTAACAATTTGTAACGTTTTCGTTGAGTTTTTGTCACGTTTGCTTTACACAGTAAAGCTATCCCTATTGTAAATGACCGATAGAATCCAATAAAAAATAAGTAATTGATTTGAAATGTGTTTTGGCGCTCCAATGAAGTCAGCGGCTTAAATTGAAATATACCAATCCATACCTATGCTTGTCTCTATTGGCTAAATCCAAAGAAATGCACCTGGAATGAATTGGTAATTCATAGCGCCAAACCCATTCAAACCAAAATACCAGTTGATTTTTCATTCAAAAATAATTAAGTTCCCAGAAGAATAACCGGGTAAAAACCAGAATTCATTTTTCACAGAAGAGAAAAAAATTATTATAACTGAGTAACTTTATTTCTTTATTAATTTTTTAGTTAGTGAGATATGTATTGATACATATAACTTACTAACACTAAAAAAGTAATAAAAAATAAATAAAATTACTCGGCCTTTAATAATTTTTTTGTCTTTCTTGCAAAGGATGTTTGTAGGCATGATCGAAATCAATATTATTTATGTAATTTTTTTTTATTTGTCCGCTCTAACTACCATTCTCACGTCATCGTCCCTAAACCTTACACATATAAATATTTTTTTAAGGTATAAGTCCACACCCTTATAAGTACACAACTACCACTAAGCACAGAAACCCATAGATTATAAAAGAAACCGACTAATAAAAAAACGACATTAAAAAGCGTCCAAAGACTTGTTTGTTTCTTTATGAGACGACGTCTCAATCATTCGAACAAGGACTGCGTACGTTGGTTTTGCGCAGCTACACGAGAGTCCTCTTGCGATATTTTAAATTATTGAGAATAACCAATTAGCAGATTTCTTTCTAGAATCTTACACTGGGAATGCCCAATTGAATTCAATTGGAAATTACCTATTGGTAGCTTTAACCAATCGAAACCACTAAAAAACAGTAGAATCCTAATCGGACTTTTCCATCATGGAAAATACCAGTAAAAACCAATTTCTGTTTTATATCGTTCCCAATTAAACCCAGTAAGTCCAATTCAGACCTATTGATACCAACCAATACTTCAATTGGTTTCTATAAGGAATTAATCGGTCATTTACAACAGGGATGGTAAATCAGCGATCACAAATTTGTATCGTTTCCGTTAAAGGCGTTAACTTTTCGTCAGAGGTTGACCTCAAATTTCCTGACAACAACGTCACATACACGACAACGATTTTGTCAAGTTACGTACCTAGTCGTAAACGTAAACCTATTCGGGGGCACTGACAAAATTGCTTAAATTTATAACCCTCGAGGAGTTCACGTCTTGGTAAAGATGTAATGGATTTTTCACATCCTTATCGGAAAATGTTACCTGGGGCCATATGCAATGTTATTGTTTTGTGCTAAAACAAAACTTCAAAGAGACTGCACGTCTCCAGTCTTATTATTAATATTATTTTGTATCCTCATGACGATTGTTAGCTAAACGTATGACGTATGTACATATTACTTTTAATTACTAAACCCCAGTAAAGTGCACATGCAACATGAATATTACGTTAATTAAGGATATTTGATTTGATATTTGGAATAGGATATATTGAGATTCAATTTTGTATAGTAGGTCATTCTGCCTGTTACAGTAATTATAATTATTCAAACCACAAACCACATTGCACCCGGCGTATACAATTAATTACAGTGTCAGTCAACATTCTAACATATTTTGGATACATAAGTTGAAGTATGTGAAATTATCATAGTATACACTCGCCGGCAAAAAAACGACCACTATAAATTGACAACAATTTTGCTCAACTGATTTTGATGAATTTAAATTGTATGTTGACTCTTCAGTTACGATGCTGGGATAAAAAAGAATATTTAGATTTTAATTTGTGCATATGCAGGGAGCAAAAGTAAGAAGAACTCTTTTCCTGAAATTTGTGACACCCTGTGGGGTGCATTAGCAATCACAGCGGATATCAATTAAAATCATACTGTAGTCCTTCTTTTCTTAATATTTTGTTTTTTCTTTACGTTATTATCTCTGTTATTAACGAAGATAAACTGTTTTAAAGCCAACTTCTCGGGTAAAGTCTTCGTAGGATTTCCTCCCGAACCGCTAATCTGATTTTTTTTAATTGTTGGTGCTGTATACACATTTTTATTTAGATTTTTATTTACGCTGTGGCTCCCTTAAGGTCAGTCCCGAGTGACGTCATATTTTTAAGATTTGTTATGTTACTATAGAACTAAAACAAACCAACCCAATCTAACACTTTTTAACAAAGGAACAACAAATTTATAAAATAAAAAAAGTTCGACAACTTCTAGTAGTATTGAACCCGGTACCTCTCGCATGCCAAGCGACCGCCCTACCATCTGAGCCATTCAGCTTAATATTAATTTTATAACGCTCGGGGAATAAAAACGGAAGTACAGTATGTGACGTCAGTCGGGATCGCCTATGGACGGGCGCCACTTCGTTTTAATTAAGACGAATTTTCCCCCGAAATTTGTGATACCATGTGGAATGTATCGGCAATTAAATTTTTCTATAGCCCTATCCTTTCTGAACATCTTGTTTTTTTTATTAGCGTTATTATCTCTGTAAGGGCTGTACGCAGGATTTGCTTCTAGGGGGGGTATACAATTTTATAACATATATAATATATATATATATTTTTTCTACTCGCCCATTATCGTACATTTTTTCACATATTGACAAGCTGTGGCTTAATGGCGTTTAAGTCAGGGGCTGAAGTTAGCAACAGGTTTTTAGTCACGGGCTGAAGTTAGCTTTAAGTTAGTTGACAGTTTTCGAATGTCACATAATCGGAAAAAAATGCCCTTCTTTGTGAAATAATACTAAATGTGAAAATAATTTTATTATCTCAATACAAAAGTATAAAATAGTTTCTTGAAGCCAATATTTGAAAAGATTATACGAACGTTTGTACTGACATTTGATTTCGCCGTAGTAGTAAACTAGATTTAACTGATAAAGCATTAAAAATTTTGCTTGCAGTGCTCATAAAACATTTTTTTTTACTTTTACTGTGAAAAACTGTTTCTATTTTCAAGGGATAAATTTTGATTTACAAAGAAAAATTTCACATTTTAACGCCAGATTTTCCAATAAATACTCACTTTTTGTACCTTTAACATTTCCCGTGTAAGACTTTTTAAAACTTTTAATAATATTTTGCAATTATAGTAATCAAAAATTAAGTGATAAATAATTTTTTTATTAATCATATTTTGTTTGTTATTTTAATATTTTAAAGTACTACTAATTGTTAAGTTTAATTAAAATTAATAAAGGGCAAATATTTAATTTAAATCATTTTTTATCGTAGAGAGAGTATAGTATGCAACTAGATGGTCGCTTTCTGGACACTTATTTATTTAAACACTCGCTCGCAAGCTCGCTCGTGATTAATTTAAATTCTTGACTAAAATGGCGTTTATCAAACTTGATACTTGATATACTATTTTAGGTTTTTGTATCGTGGCATTAATTAAAGGTGGTTGAAGTCAACGGTATGTGTCTAATACGAACACTTTATCTGAGGCGTTGACTTTAAAACGGTATCTTCGTTAATAAATTAATAATAATAGAGATAATAACGTGAATAAAAAAATATTCGCTGTTATGCTGATGCACCCAACAGGGTAACACACAACTTCGGGAAAAACACTTTTTCTTACTTTTTCTCCTTGTATATGCTCAAATTAAAATCTGAATAAAAATATTTACCATAAATAATCAAAATAAGATGAGCGGTTCCGGAGGAAATCAACATTAAAACTCTGGCAAAATTATTGTGGCCGGTTTTTCTGCCATATTATTAGTAATATATGGTAATTTAGAGATTTTCTTAAAAAATTAAATTAAAAAATATAGTTTGGTACTCACATTGGCTAGCTGATCAAATCTACCAAAAAGTTCGTTTAGTAATCGAACAAGTTCTTGGGCAGTGCACTGAGACGCAAGTACAGTAAATCCAACGATGTCTGCAAACAAAATGCTGAAAAAAAATTATTTGAAGTGGTTTGTTTTGTACATTTTAGTGTAGGTATTTAAATACAATATTTATGTTTGCAAAATTAGATAGAAATTTAACTGAATTTTAAAAGGGTCGTAGATGTATAAAGAAAGAGTGGGTATTACCCAGCAGTGCATTTTAAACTCGCCATCTAGTATGTAGCATCCAAAGTATAAATTACAGTTACCTAGGTATAACAAATTCGCACAATAAGGATAAATTTAAAAATGGTTGGAGAAATTTGCAAAACTGTTCAAAATAAAAAAATGTGTGAAAAATTCGCATAAAAATATTAAAAATGGTTGGACAACTTTTAAGAATTTCCTAAATTTTCGAAATTTTAAAATTTCTTACCAATTTTTTTATAAATTTCTACTGCTACTACAAGTGCTTCTTAAAAATGGAACAATAAAAGAAAAAGGACCCCTAGTTGCGGCGATACATTTATTCGAACTTTACTGGATCTCATACCTTTTTCTGTATACTCTATTTAATAATAATAAAATATTATGTATTTAAAAAAACTATATATTTAATGTTTCATTATATGACTCCAAAAATACAAAAGGTTCCTTACCTGACATTTTCATGTTTCTGTATATAAATCTTATGAAATTGGCCCTCGACCGGCGAGATGATGTCGTTTTTCATTTCCATGGCGACGTGTTGTGGCAAGACTGACAAAAGAAGTCTTTCCTGTAAAAAATTGGATTTTAAATGGCGCTCTTGTTGCAAACAGAGAAAGCACTTCTTACTAATTTTTCGTTTTCGTCCTCCATTTCTAATCTGGCGGCAATGCAGTTTCTAGTGTCCAAAAAGGCCTTTCTTTGCGCGTGTTCCATCAGGTTGTGCATGAAAATTCCGACCACATTTACGCAAACAAACACCAACACGTTTGCTATTAACTAAAATAAAACAGCATTTTCAAATAACCTGCTAAAGTAAATATTTAATTCATAACATATATAAATTAATATTATTATTTATTATTTAGAATCATTAAATGTAAAATTTTATACGTAACATATTTAAAATAAAAGTAGAATTTAAAAATATTATTAGATATTTCATATTGAAATTTTCAAGCATATTTCATAATTGCTACATCTCCTGTAATCCCCATTAAATAATTGTAATTGCTTTAGAAAAAAACTAAAATTTCACTAACCTGTTCCCACCTAAGATGAGGAAAGTCGGTGGCGAACACCGACGAGACGGCGACGTGGGCAGCCGCCAGCGCCGTTCCGAAAAGGGCGGCCACCCACGATTTCAGTGGCATCATCGCGTAGGCCAGGAACACGACGAAAACCACTTGCCAGGTGCCCTCGGCGGAAACCTTGGCGCCCGCCCCGCCAGGATACAGGGGCAGCGCTAGGGCGCAAAATGTTGCCAAAAAGAACAGCACCACGTAGCACACCCATAACAGGTACGCGTCCTGCATGAACCTGCGATAAAAATATAATATGAAACGAGTAATCCATTAAAAATAAAGTAAATTTTTTTTAAATGTGATTACCTAAATTAGGAATTTCTCAAACAAGTAACACATTAGGTTTTATTATTAATTTAACCACAGACCACATAGACTTAACGATGCCTATTCCGTATCATTGAATCAAGTGAAGCCGCTTTCGCGGAGTGCGGGGAAAGGTATGCGAAAGGCGTGGCTATGTTTTCACCAGAGTTGTCTTCAGTTTATTTACGATTTATGTCTCGTAGAAGACTTTTATTTATAATATTTTTATATTATATAAGTAATATTTATACATTATTAATATAATAATTATAATTAGTATTGTTAATATTTATTATGATCAGATAAATGAAAAATAATTTACACAATAATAATTTGTTAAAATATCAAACGATATATTTAAACATTTTAAATAAACAAATTTTATTGTTCATACATTTTTTAATAAATACAAAAATATATTATGCTTACCTTTATTAAATGCCTATATCTATTTTAAATAAATAAAACCAAATAATAATAAATTAAAAATTTATTTTATTTAGGAAATGCATATTTTAATAATTTTAAATATTATTATTATTGTCCTTTAAACAAAAGGGCTTTATTTAAAAGTTGGCGCTTAGTAATTCTGCAATTGTTAAAATGTTTGAATCATATTTTAAATTTTTCAGAAACGGTTGAATTTAGGTACCTACCTACATATATGGTATCATACCATAGTATGCCATACTATAGTTATTAGACATGGGAACCACATCAAATTTATATGAGTTTATAATGACATTATATAGACAAGTTCTGCCCAAGCAGAATTTAAATTAAAGTTTGCGAAAAAAAGTTAGTTTTTAAGTGCAACCCCCAGCCTCCTGCCCCTCCAAATTAAGATAATTCAAATTAAAGTGGTACAATATTTAATTCACTGAAGTTTATCGACAAATTTTAAATTTTATTAAAAAAATTTAAGAATTACAGGTTTTATACCATTTATAATTTTTATTATTTCTCATACTAAATTTAAAAAAATTTGAAATGGTATAAAATCTGTAATACTTGAATTTTTTTAATAAAATTTGAAATTTGTCGATAAACTTCAGTGAATTAAATATTGTACCACTTTAATTTGAATTATCTTAATTTGGAGGGGCAGGAGACTGGGGGTTGCACTTAAAAACTAACTTTTTTTCGCAAACTTTTATTTAAATTCTGCTTGCGCAGAACTTGTCTATATAATGTCATTATAAACTCATATAAATTTGATGTGGGTCCCATGTCTAATAACTGAGATATGGGTGTGCCAAAATCCACCAGCCGCCACTTATGGTATGTTATATGAAATATGCTTAGAACTTTTCAAGGAAGGTTTTTCCCTGTATACTGATCAATTTTCCAATTTTCTTTATACGTAGAAAAAAGTATTTTTTAGTACCTACATAACCACTTTTAAATTTTTTAGGACACTTAAAATAAAAAAGTTAAAGTTATAGGGGATCACCCTGTACCTCAGAGGTAAAGTGTATTAAGTAAATTGTTCAGGAGAAGTCAAAAATGTTTTAAAACTCATAATTATTTCTAGTTCTTACATTTAATAACGGATTATCATGACATTAGTTTTTAAATATTAATATCTATGATTACTTGACTAATGGATAACGCAGTACTAAGTAATTTTTTTTTATAAATATCTTATTTTCGATAATATTGGACTTACTACAGTTTACCTCTGAGGTACAGATTTGCAAAACCCATTTTATATTTGCCTGAATGAATTTATTTACGAAGTCAATAAAGAAAAGAAAATATATTGAAATTTTAAATGTCTTTCAAACTAATAATATCAAGTTAATAAATTTTTATAGTTATTTTTAATAAAGATCTTTAGGAAAAATAAATTTATTTACAAAAACAATGAATCAATTTATTTATAAAAACAATGAAACTACAATTGATAATGAATATTTTAGTGAATGAAAACTTAAAACTTTATTATTACATATGAAATGTTTAATATATTTAGTATTTATATTCCTTGGCGAATTTTAAATATACCTAAATGACCTATAAAAAACATTAAATACAACAAAAAATTGTAAACATGCACATTAGACCTCTCTCCGAAATTAATTGGTCTCGAAATTTACTAATTCAACTCTGATTTTCATCGACGCAAGCCAATTTAAAGGCGCATTCATGCTCACTAAAATAAGAAATAAGAATAAGAAATAAGATAAAAAGTTAAAACTGTGTAAAGTAATGGTTGCGTTCATGCTCATGAAAATAAGGAATAAGAAATAAGAATAAAGATTAACAAATTTTAACTTTGGTTCTTATTCTTGCGTATAAAAGTGCGCAAAGGACCAAAATGGGTCTGTGAATTATTTTGATGGGTTTTATGTGCTGGCCATGGAGCCATGGTGTTGGAAATCGCGTTAAGTGTCGCTGTCGATTGTTTACGTTTATAGCCAATATAATCCACTATAATAAAATATAATTGTGTGACAACATTTTTTATTTCTTATGTTATCAGCATGAACGATCAATCGCGATCTTATTTCTTATTTCTTATTCTTATTTCTTATTTTAAGTGAGCATGAATACGCTTAATAGCGGAGGAGAGCGCGATTTCTGCAATTTTTTATATATATTTCTACTTACATAAAAAATTAACATAATTTTTTTCGTCGTATTTGGTCTCAGTTCTATTTTCACATCCTATCACACACATTTACCCATGTTTTCAAAATAAATACAAAAAATATCACGACACCGTCGATTTATAACTGAGATAAATCGCGATCGCTGGGCCTGTATAGACCTGTACCCGGCTTCAACTGCATCGCCCTTACGTTCAATCTATGTGGTCTGTGAATTTAACAGCCCTTTTAAAATACGACATAGCGTCGCGTGATGTAATTTGGTTTTAAATCTAAAATGCATTTTAGTGTATTGCCATCGAGACAAATCACTCTTAAGAAGCTAGCACACAGAAGTATAATAAAGCAGATTAAATTATTAGCTGTAAAAAGTACTTTCAGCACAAGCAAATAGTCTTAGTACAGTTTCGTCCAGAGATTTGATTTTAACTGCTTTCATAAAACATACTTTTTAATAATCCTTAAAACCAATATTATATTATAATACTGCCCTAAAGCTAAATGGGTCCTAAGGGTCTCTTAAGTAAATATAAGTTTTTATAAAGGTATTAACGACATCCCATAATAAAGCAAAGTTAAAACTTATAAGCGTATTACTGCCCTACTATGAAGAAAGGCAGTAACTGCAAAAAAATGCAAAAATGCGTTTTCTTGTGCTGTGGTAAAGCTATGGACATTTTGTAACCGAAATCAACACAGAAATGCAGTCAAATATCTCATAAGTTAAAAAAATTAATTAAATACCTACTGCTTTTTATAAAAATGTAGTTTATGCTAATTTTCCACAGTACCACTTGACGCACCGTAGAGAGAGGACGCGCGCGAGATCTCTTCTCAAAAGTAAAGCGCACTCAGCGCATTTAAGTTTATTAGGCAACTTAAGTGCGAAATCAGAGCCTAGGGCCACTCAGTGCCGTCGCCGCTAAAGTTCAAGTAACAAAAAGGAATCAATGTCGATTCTGCACGTGATAACGGATCCAAGTGCTATAAGAAAAGAAATAATACTAAGTCCGAAAAGTGCAGTATCGTCGTGGAGGTTTGTGTGAGAGTGAGTGATAAGGTTGGGTCACTCCGATGAAATGCCTGATCACCTGTATGGTCATCACAATCGGCAGGGCCAAGGAGCGCGGTCTGTCCGCTAGGGATAGGAAGGCAGAATCTAACTAGTTCAGCTAAGTAATTTTCCTAATTGCATGACCTAACAACACCAATTCGTTTCTGATATAATTTAATCGTTAAATGTTTACATTCGTAAATTCGCGAGGTTGCCAAGAATGTCATCTGGCTTCAGAAATTAAACAGGTCCCTACACTGAGAAAAGTGATCTATTTTAAGTTTTAATTAAATGAACAGTTTTGGGTACATTCAATACGCCCAATGCGCATAACTGTTTATTTAAAAGTCTATGATACCTACAGTCTTTAAATTAAACTCGTACAGTTTGAATATACATTTTTACTACTACAAAAATGTACAAAGAATTCAATAAAGCGGTACAGAAGTAATTATGAAAAATCTCTAATATAAGCACTCTGATTGTTTGTCTAAGATTTCTTTTTAACCGTCTCAAAAACTAAATTTTAAATAATAATAAGATAACACTTCCGTAAGTTAAAATAACAACCTCATTTTCTCAGAGTAAACAAACCATAAACAGCTTAACCAAATTGAAAGGGGCGTAAGAATAAATAAACCAAATCAAGCAAGATGACAAAAAATTAGATCATAATTAAGTGTTGTGTGTTAATATTTAATATTGTATGCATTTAAGACTAGCCATAAATCATAGCCAAATAAGCTCAGGAATGCAAGAACATCACAGAAGATAAGAAGAGCGATCCTCTCAATAGCCAAATGCGTACAGGGCCGGCTTTATCTATTTTGTATATTAATATTTATATTTTTAAATTAAATTTGAAAAAAAAAAGTAAGAATGCAAAGATATAAATTAAATGAAATCGGTATAAACACTAATTTAACAATAAAAGAAATAAAGAATATACAAGGTTGGTAGCCGGCACTCGGCAGGAGGAATATCCACCAAGGCAGAGGGCACTTACGGTGTGTCTTGGCCGCCAACTCTTCGGTACGGAAAACAAGACTCAGTAACACACAGGGGGGCAAACAATTCTAAAGAGGTTACCAGGAACCTGATACTGACTCGGACAGAGATGATTAGAAATACACCAACAAGGACAGGTTCTAGCAGTGTACTAACACTTCTACCCCTATTCATGAATAACAATTGAATGGGGTTATTACTAAGTCCCAGGTTGCGGAGGATTCCGGATTGTACTTAGTTTTGGGTCAGTTCAATGTCCTCCAAAAACCCTTCCTAAACTGGACGTATGGCCCGACCCGGCTGACAAAAATCCGGGAGCGGCCTTAACCTTTGACACTGTCATCCACGAGCTCCTAGGGTGGATCTACCAGCCGGCGTAAAAACTTCGGATCCAACAAACACAGGTAATGCTGTGATTTGGCGGGATACGCAGGAGAACGGAAAGGGGGTAAAATAACCCCGGGAGATCAGTGGAGGATAATATATTTGGGTCCTGCCATACGTTCCCATACTCATACTCATATGCTAATTTTCCACAAATTTCTTGTTTAGCAATTACTGCCTTTCTCCATAGTAGGGCAGAATAGGCGTTATGGTTTTAAAAGTAGATTTGATTGTGCCTTATTAAGCTTTGTATTAAAGTAATATGGTTCTAAGAACAATTAACCTTAATTTGTGATAACTCCCATAAACCCAAACATCTTTTCTAAAAGTGTGATAAAGATTTGATATAATATTTAGGTAAAAGCCAAGAGTCAGATGTGTTAAAAAGAAGAATATAAGGCAATTTTTTTAAAAATTGTTTTTGTTGCTTTAAATATTAGAAAACAGTAGGTATACCTGGTGTGCAAAAACCCGAGCAAAAGCGCAAAAAGAAAACAATGCGCGGCGTGGTAGACGTTCTGCGCGGTGGGCGTCTGCGTGAACACCAGTCCCAAGTTGGCCATGAGAAAGGTGAGCAGGACGAAGAGGGCGACCACGGCCGCCACGCTCGAGTGCTGCAGCTTGCAGATGTACCGCTGGTACAGTTGCTCGAGCTCGTCGTTCTCGAAGCGGTGCGGGTTAAGGAGGCGCGCTAGGACGCGCGGCGACGTCATCGCCTTCACGCTGTGGTCCATCGCGTGGCTGGCGCTGCCCTAGACTTCGAAGCAGTCAGGTGCTTCTTCGTCTACGGCCCATCACTGAAACAAATATAAAGAGTTTATTTCATTTATTGAAATATACAATGTATTTATACATTTATTATTTAGGACTCTTCGTTTTAAAAATAATATAAAAAATTAAATAAATTATACAGGGTATCCCATTATGTTATTATGTATGCGGACGACACGCAATTGCATTATAGTTTTAGTCCTAAAAATGTAATTAATGTTAGAAATCAAATAAATATTGATTTGCAGTCAATTTGTGCATTCTCACAAAACCATAATTTAAAGTTAAATTTTGATAAATGCTCTTTTATGTTATATTGCAGTACAACTCTGAGACCTTTTATTTGTAGGGAATTTATATTAAAAATAAATGACACAAATTTAAATATACAAAATAAAGTAAAAAATTTGGGCATCATTATGGATGATAATTTGCGTTTCAAAGATCATGTAAGCTCTCTCGTAAAAAAATCGTATGTATCTTTAAAAATATTATATACAAACATAAATATTTTAAATTTTAAAGTAAGAAAAAAACTTTGTGAGAGTTTAGTAATATCTATTTTAAATTATTGTAATATAGTTTATTACCCTTGTCTCGACAAGCTAACTAAGTTACGTTTGCAAAAAAATTTAAATAGCTGCTGTAGATTTGTTTTTAGGTTAAGAAAATATGATCATGTTTCCTTGAAGATAAGGGAACTGGGCTGGCTTAATGTAGAAAATATGTTTAAGTATAATTTATCAATATTCACTCACAATATTTTAAAAACCTCTAATCCACCCTATTTGTTAAATAAACAAAATCATGACGTTAATTTAAGATTTGTAGATCTACTCTCATTACCTAGACATTATCATTTAGCCATGTTTTGTCGATCTTTCACTTATAATGCCGTAACTATTTATAATGGATTAAGCTCAGATTTAAAATTGTTAAAATCAAATAAATTTCGTGTCAAAGTTAAATCACTATTTTTTTCTACTCAATAAATCTATTGAGTTAGTGTTCTTCTAATTGTAAAATTTTCAATACTTTTGTTTTGTGTATAACTAATACAGTATAAGTATAATTAAACATAAGGTTTACATGATGTTATTATTTTAAGTTCTATAATAGGAATTTTTTGTTATTTTTAAATTAGTATCAATGTTATTTGAGTTTTGTAATTTAAAAAGTGGAATAGCCCTAGCTAGATCTCGCCTCGTTAAATAAAGACGTTTTATTATTATTATTATTATTATTATGTTAATAAAAGAACAAAAAAATATTTTTGATTAGTATTATGATTTGATTTGCTCCCACACGGTAGAGATAATTTTTAAATTTTGCAAAAAGGCTTCTTTAAAAAAAATACGTTTTTTATTGTCAAAATACAATGTGATAATAAAAATGTGTATTATAAATAAACTCATATTTTCAGGGATCCAGGGGGATCCCAGATGGCAGGCTATTAGATTCGTGAGGTCGGCGGAAAAAAAATCGTGAGATCTCGTATTTCGTCGATTTTATGCTATAATTTAAATAAGCGCTTAATTGTTGTAGGGTTGTTAATAATTTTTTTAAATTTATTTAATTTAATTTAAAATAAATTAAAAAACAACAAAAAATTTGACTTTTTTCTAATAAATAAAAAATAAATCTTAGCAGATAGCCTCGGATAGCAGGTACCTTGCAGGTACAGCAAAAAACATTCCTTAAAATAAAAATAAATAAAACAATAAACGATAAATCGTGAGATCTGGGATGCCTGTACAGAAGTTTATGGAGAACGGAAAAAGATATCGATTTGAAATTTCTATAGCAATTATAAGGAAATGTTTTTTTAAATGGAACCATGTAAATATTATTGCATTTTTAAATTTTACGTACAATTCTATTAATACTAAAATTTTATTATTTTTTTTATTTTTAACAGTTTTTTTAAATTATTGATTTTTTTTTTTAAATTTTGATAAATGGATGGATGGATCCAATGCACATTACTGATATTACAAATAAAAAAAAATAAACGTTTTTTTTTAATTTTTCGTAATATCTCTGTAAATATTTATTTTAGGTGATGCTGCAGCATTTCAATAGAAAACATTATTTTGTGTCGAATGATGTGAAAATTTTATAGTAGTTTCGTTTGAAATAAGAAAGTTATTGGTATATAAAGTGACAAAAAAGTCAACGTAAATACCAGACACCCTGTATAAATTTTTCAAATACTATTAATGGCTTTTGATAGAGTGCTCCTTAGTTAAGAGATACCCAATAAATTAACTTTTTAAGATTACAATTAGTGGTAATACAGACATATTAGTAAGACCAGCCATCTGTCAAAATAAAATATCTCAAAAACTTAAAAATAATCAAATTTTAGTATTTCTAGAATTTTACGTATAATTTAAAAATGCAATAATACTTATATGGTTCCGGTTTGAAAATAATTTTAAAAAATTGTTAACATTGCCTCATAATTACTACACAAATTTCAAATCGATATCTTTTTGCGTTCTCCATCAACTTCTAATGACTAAGTTAAGTGAATCACCCTGTATATATTATTTGCGATATTTATATTTAGCCCATTTTTATTTTATGAGGTTTTTTATATTATAAATTCAACTAAAATAATGATATGTCAAATATTCTTGGGGTAAAATATTTAGATGTTTTAAAAAAATGCGTATCAAATTAAATTGTATCATAAAAATAATTATTATTATCTATTCATTTTATTTAATTATTATTTTGTCTGACAAATAGTTTAAAAAAACACGTTTTATGTTTTTTTATGTACGTACTCCTATTGCCTAATATTGTTTTTTTACCGTGAATAATGATAAACATTATAAATTTCCTGCCTAAACGGGAATAATAAACTTATTATTCAAGTTGTTAAGCATCAGTGATTGGCCGATTTCAAAATTCACTGTGATTTGAACCAATCGGGTTTTTAATTAGGAGGAGGCCACTATAATAACATTTAAAATTGGTTAAAAGTTTAGAAGTTTAACAGATGTCAGATTTAATTTATTAATTTTTAAAAATTATTTAATAATCAACTTATTGGAGATCATAAAGTATAGTATAACACTCGAGATTATGCGCATTATCTCTCGTATAATAATATACGCACCATTAAAAACATTCACGATTAAAAAGTGAAACGACGTGCCATACAACTGCGCATCACAGCGGATAACTCTTATGCTGTAATAGAAAAACTGCCTTTGTTGGTTTTTTACATGTTACATTTTTCGTTTTAATTGTGAAAAATTAAGGTAATTTTTTTAAATTATTACATTAAATAAAATATAATATATTAATTAATAATAATAAAAGATTTATTTGTGTGATACATACATTGTACAAATGCAAAAAAGTATAATATATTATATGATTAAATATGTGTATCTACAACAAAGTGGTCTAAAAGGCAGCAACAGCTGATTTTCATATTTTCGACCAATCTAGCTGACAGACTACTAGAAGAAAAAAAATCGTGAAAAATGCTATAGTTCTTATTTTGTCCGATACTGTGTATGAGTATAAGATAGATGCAAGTACATTTTAAAATAGTAAAAGATAAAAAACTTGTATCCTTAGTTTCATCATTGATTAGTCAACGCTTTTATTATTTTAAAACGTAGTTAGCGGGTTTTGCATCTATAACACTCATATAAGGTAGCAATATACAGGGTGTACCAAAATTGTCGGACCAAAGGGTAAAATGAAATTCCAAGACGATTTTTTTTTAAATCCGCAAAAATGGTAAAGGAAATTTTGATTTAGATTTTCTCAAGGAATCGGTCCCTTTCGTTTGGTCCGATAATGTTGGGACACCCTGTATTTAAGGAAGGGATTATCGATATAATAGACTCTAAATATAACATAAGTGCTTTGTGCAAAGGACCTTTCTCAATAAGGAAACGCGTTTCGTTGTTATAGAGAATCAGTTGCCGACCTAATTTACCACGTGCTTCCTTGCGGTTCCTCTGATTTTCCAGCATCAAACCACAAAAGGTCCATGGGCAGCGAATCGCACGCTAACAGGTCTGTCGATCAATTTCCATGCGAACGGTCAAACGGCGATCTCGTATCAATCCACTGAATCACAAGGCGTTTGAGCATTTCTAAAAATGTTTGCCATACTGCCCGATATATGGATTTACTTTTTATGTTCTTTTCGTCAAGGATTTTGTGTGTTGCAACCCAAAATAAATTCCTTTGACTAGTAAGCGTGCTTGAGCCAGCAAATCCATGAAAAATTAATTGGAATCCAAGCGCTGCAGGCAAGCATGCGTTTTAAAAATAAATATTTGCTTTAGAAAAAATGTACAGTATTTAAATTAAATTTATACTCGAATATTAATATAAAATTAATATATCATAATACAGCAATACACTATTATAAAAATCAGATTTGTTAACATGAGTTTTTAGTTTGTAAAATTTTAACATATTTTTTGTAGAAAGGGCTTTGTAATTATTTTAACAAAGGAAAATATTTTAATAAATAAATGTAATACGCAATTTTGTTAATTTTTAAAGTTACAGATTATTTTGTTAATTAACTGAAATAAACATTAATGTTTATTTCAGGCGGTGAATCAAAACATTTCCCATTGACAATACGCATAAACAAGTTCAACTGACTTCAGCGTCTGCAACTTATGTTTCTGCTTACTTTATATTGCTTCGTAACGTGTTCGTAACAACTGTCCAGAGTGTTTATAATATATTACCAGAAATCTGTTATTATTGATATTCGGATTTTTATACCTATTTAACCAGTGTGAGAAGTATCCGAAAAAAGATGCCATCACTGGTTTTCAAACTGAAATTAGGGGGTTCAATGAAGTGGGTTTAAGTATTGTAGTAGTACCGATATTTATATTTTACCAAATTTCTTTATAATTTGATGATTTCAGAATGGTGTGTTATTTAATTGTTATGTTTGTCGCCACCTAAA